TTAACATATCTATACTTACGTAATAAAAATGAGGTCAACATAACAAGTATTTTCAATTGTGTTAAATAAATTATGACATTAGTCATTATTATGACAATAGCATAATTTGATTTATTCGATATCTTTAATAATATCAGAGATTATAAATAAATATCTTTATGTGTCCGTTAATCTCTTAAAAATGCGACTTGAATCGTGACGAAATCGGTAGTCTGTAGAATTTGGAAATCAGTGCATAATACTGACGGAAAGAAAAATAATCTCATTCCAAACTTCCGCCACTTTAAAGTAAATCAATAAGCATATTTACAATTATTTCTAATTTAAGTAGTAACATTAACATACTATAGTAACCTATATGTTCAAAACGTTGTAGTAGTGTAGTAATTACCATGAGGTAAGCATGATACCTACCTCCAATGACTGTATTGTGTTAATTGGTCATGGCTTACTGGAATGTTACGTACGTGGTACCTAACCAACCAACATACAGCGAAGCGTCAGCTTTCCGTCAGCCAGATAAGGGTACAGGTTGGCAGCGTACAAGTTTCATAATGCTGTGCAGTGCAGTCCCCTAACGGAGTGTGACGTGATAAGTTGGCTCTTGTTCACTGTGCAGTGTTGTTATCGTGCGCTCCGTTAGAAATATTAAAACACGGTAAGGCGTGTTGTTTACATTTGCTATTTTTAAAATTGATTCGACAAACATTGTATCTATCTAAATTGTGTAACAAAATCAATTTTCGTGTCAGTGTTGTCTTGGTATATGGAGTTGAAAGATATAAAAGGCGCTGTAAATAATAATGACTTGAGCTACATAACTAAATATCAGTGAGTCGTCTTGTAGTTGTCTAGTAGATTATCTAATTATGAGACATAAATACGTTTGGGCACTGAGTACACAATAAATATATGTAATAAAAAAATCATAAACATGTAGGTCATGGTTATAGATTCTTCAAAATAAATATTGGGTTGGTACTTATCTATATTCTACACCTACACATTTACCTACATACCTACTACAAATTGAGCACAAATTATAAATTGACCCAAAATAATGATTAATTTACAACTTTCCTGAATTTATTTAATTATTCACATTATTGGACACTCTAGAGACTTTAGTAGGTACCTATTACTTACTTAATTGAATTAGGTAGGTACTTAGGAAATTAATATGTACAGAAGTAAGACTGGACGTGAAGATATTTGTATTCAACGTAACATGCATATTACTTTCACCAATCGCATCGGGGAAAAACTTGGATGCAAAGATATAAAATTAGGTACGATTTGATGTATAAAAATTTATTACAAATTTAAATATACATATATAGGTAATAAAAAAAATGCATCCATCACAAATATACTTTTTCCATATATTTTTCATTGAAAAACTTATTAGAAATCAATTTTCTATACTGATTAAATTAGGTATTTTAACCGGGACGTTTGATAGCGTCTTAATAGTAGGCTAATAATAGTTATATGTGCTCATAAATATTCAGTATATTTATGACCACATATAACTATTACTATATATACTATAGCCTACTATTAATACTATACTAAAATATCTATACAACTATATTCAACTGCCGATATCGTATAAAACGTTAGATTCAATATATTATCGTCTGTACTAAAAATACATTGTGATAACGAATCCGGTAGTCAGTAACACTAGTTAGTCTTCGGTATATCAGAAAAAATGTAGTACAATATAGAAGGTACCTTAGTTCTACGAATGCGTTTGTTTTTATACATGTATAAGATGTAGTAATTTTACTAAGTAAGTAATTAGTATATAGTCATTTATTAGTAAAATTACGTCATCTCACATGTATGAAAACAAATAACAATTCAAATATTCATCAATTCATCTATACATATAAATAAAATTGGATTGTCTGTTTCTAATATTGAAATAACCGTTTTTTACTACATGCATATGGATATAAATACGGTACATACACCAAAATAACATTTTTTATAATTTTTATATCTTTTTATTTACTGTTTGTTCCGGCTAATCTCTGAAATGGTTGGACCGATTTTGATAGGAGTTTTATTGGCAATTAGGTAGGTAGCTGATGTAATAAGGAGTAACTCAGGCTACTTTTATTTTAGAAAAATAAAGTTAAATTCCACAATCACGAGGTCGCGGATACAGCTAGTATATTATATAAATGACTAGCTACTCGCCCCAGCTTCGCCACTTACAGCTTACTAGCTTCGTACATGTATTATATATATAAACCTTCCTTTACAATCACTCTATCTATTAATAAAACCGCGTTGTTTTAAAGATTTAAGCATACATAGGGACAGACAGCGACAGCGACTTTGTTTATATTATACTATGTAATGCTGATTAGTATTAGTGTTCAGATAGATAAATTGGAATATCCGTCATGACTATTATTTTGTACCACATTGTACCTACTGTTGGCTAAGTTCAACTTCGAAACTTCTTTCTGTTGCATTACCACAGATAGAAATTTTATTGATACCTTTTCCAGAGACTATATTTGTATATTATCCCTGCTCTTGAAGCTCTGTCGCCAAGGACGAAGACAAAACGCGAGAAATAAGGGTAAACTTTAAGACAAATGATAAAGTTAACTTGTATGGTGGTACCTATTTAGTGATACTATGCTACCTACATACGAGCATAATATGTAACCCACATACACACCTACTGGGTAAATTAATATTATAAATGCAAAAATATGGCTGTCTGTCTATTTGTTACGTTTTACAACTACTTACTGATCGTAACGAAGTTTGACGTAAAGATAGATCTTATCACAAAAACAGAGATAGGTTATCCTTTATCTAAAAAAATCTGACAATAACTAATAAATCCTGGCTAATCTTATAAATATTATAAACGCGAAAGTTTGTGAGTATGGATAGATGTTTTTTACTCTTTCACGCTAAAACTACTGAACGGATTTTGATGAAACTTTGCAGTTATATAGGTTATACATCAGAATAACATAGGCTATAAATTTCATGCGGGTGAAACCATGGGCACAGCTGGTATGCTATGAAATTGTCGACGGTATGAATTTCCAATTTCTTCCCCAATGACTAATAAGGCCAACATTCATCCATACTTTAAAGACAAGAACTAGATCATGCATGCATATAGATAACTACCGTATAGAATAATTGTAATAACCACTGTAATAATGTGTCACAACTATCAGTAAATGGTCGACTCATATGTAAAAATACAGAATATGACGAATTTATTGATTATAATTTCAACATCAATTTAGTGACTGTTAATAATTGGTATTTTTACTGTTTTATAAAATATATACATAATAACAGACACCTTTACTTATATGTATTTTATAACTATCGACTGCCAGTACGGTAGATACTTGGTAAAATTGAGCTATGAATAGGGTGATTAGTGATTACTGATGGATATGCAATTATCCCTATCATAAATGAAACTCTGCGATAAAACGTACCCATAATAAGTTTTCTCCAAGTAAAAAGCTAGTTTTTATTGTTATTCTTTAGATTATAATACATAATATGAAAACTAGAAATATACGATGTGTAATACAAGCTATTAATAACTATTGTCTTTTATTTCTAGGAAATGGGCAACGTTTTGTTTTCTATAATATGGCTAATCATCCTAATTTTCATCGGACTATGGATAGCCGGTATCGCCGCTGGATTTTACATTATCATTCTTCCCTTCACAGTGTGTATAGAACCTTTAACGGTGAGTAATAATGGATATTTATATTACCTACTTGGAATTAATACTTGAATGTTGTCTAGGATTCTATTTAAAATCGAGACGTCTATATTTAGATATTAAATACAAAACAAGAATTTTGTAGAGTATACTTTACAACCGCACACCATATCCACAATCAATAAGATCAGATTAGTAAAACCAGGACGATTAAATATTGAATAGTAGAAACAGAGCAGATTCACTGATTCATTCATTGAGTAGCTAAATACTGTCAAACCAGCTCATAAGTAATTTCAAAACCTGCTAAATACCCGTGGGACATAATAATATTAAAGTTATTAACTACGTGCATTGCAACCGGCATTACGTATTAGAATCATGTTGAACGGATAGGCATATTATTCCGATATCAGAAGGTCTGAACAATTCCAATTTCGACTGTACCTATTTTATGCCTCCGTCATTCTTTTAGTTGTGTAGATCTTCTAAATATCAAATTTTATATCAGGTAGAAGGAAGTACATTATTATTATTTCTTTACAGGGCCTCACCGACTTCTTGTTAACAGTGGTCCAGTTTCCAAGATACTGCGCAAAGGCTATGATGGAGGGAAAAGGGTTCAACTAGATATAGGTGTTGTGTAAATCTAGTCAATTTCTAAATAATTATATTATGTACTTCGATAAATAAATATTCTTGTTTACTGTGCCATACACGCCTCGTGGAACGTTTATTTAATAGAATATATATAAAGGAATACTTACTTAGCATCCCTTTACGGTTTGCTTTTAGGCGCGTTATTGAGCGTCAATTGCTCTTTCATCGACTTCCAATAGATGGCGCTAATTGTTAAAGTAATGTAGAAGTATGGTGGATTGATAATATTATATAAACTGGGATTGTGAGTGACAGTAATTGTTTATAAAAGTAACAGTGTTTTGGTAAAAAGGATCGACAAATAAACATTAAATGTCGTTTCTTTGTTCTACAGAGCAACGCATGGTTTAATTTGTCGAGAGAACTAATATACAATAGATAATTGACTTATATATATACTAATAACGATGCACATTGCAGTTGTATTTGAGTACTATAGCTATTATAAATATGTTTATGACTTACATTTTTAGACAAGTATTAAATTGGTTAGATTAATGTAGACAATACAGATTCTTTGATAATATTATATAATATTAAGTTTTAGTGTAATGAAAAGTTAAATTAAGTTTATAAAAATCATATCCATAGAATGGGAAATAAATATAATTGTGTTGGATAGAGTATTAAATTACAATATTAAAGTATCAATTTTATAAGTGTTTGTGCTCACTAAAGCGTAGGCGTCGTTGCATTAGCAATAAGTGTGATCGGTTACGTCTTGGCCCAAAAGTAAACGCCTACTCAAAAAATCAATGCTAACAGTAGTTTTGTAACTGGTTGATACCAGTACTTAATGTCCACTTACGTCCACCTCTGAGGAACGGTAGTACCTGTGTTATTGTCGAAAACACCGTAGCGATGACACTTGCTAAAGTTTCTGACTAGTTTCTCCAGTACTCTATTTAGACATGTATATATATATTCGTATGAAGTGAAAAGATTTTTTTAAATATATTAGATTGAGAAATACGAATTACCGTCCCCTTCCACGTCCATATACTGTCATTTATTACTTCTACTTGTATAATGTTATTCGTGAAATCGACCTATAAAATAATACCTTTATTACTTTGAAACAATGAACATTTACAATAAAACAATATATTTTAAAAATTGTTTAATTTAATTGGTATTTTTACATTTAGACATAAAATATTAAAAAAACGTTAAGCTGCATCTATATGTACAGTTATTAGGTAAAGTTAAAACTCAGAAACATTATCACGTATTATGAATAAAATCACTTCACAACATCTTTAATAACATTCACAGATTCCAGAAGGATTTCTACTTGATCAACACACGAGGCGATTATGTCCCTAAAATAAATAAGTTCGATATAATAAAGGATTAAGAATACATTATGTCGTCACCTCTCCTTTTCATCCCTAAAACGTCATAAGACCTGAAATATTCTTATGTAAATTATATTAAACATATCTGTCATTAGGAGGGTTATCAAGAGTTATGTAATGTTAATAGTTAAAAATATTTTATGATATATTACAAAAAATATACATTTTTCATTTCTGTTCATCACAGATGTGTCGTAAAAAAAAAGTAAGCTTAGTATTTATGAAACCCAATTTTCCTTCAGATTCACGGTCTGATTATGAAAATATATTTTCACCTTAATGTACATTACTACTTGAGATACTTACATGAAAGATTTTTTAAATTTTCATACAGAAGCATCAAGTTTTCTACATGTGTAAGTAAAACGCATGCAAATTATAATAAGAGAGATCTTACCGGTATATAAAAGATTCTTTTGAATCAAGAAGAACCCCAGCTTCTTGGAACAGTGTCTTATTGTCATTTTCACTGTTACTTGCGTATCGCTCCAGTATGCTAGAAAATATATTCAATTAAATTAGTACTAAATACTTTCAAACTAGATTAATTCAATGACTAAAGACAAAGTTGTCCGCCCTTAAATTTTGAGCGTAGCTTTTCTTTATGGGGCACTTACCATCAGATGGTGTGTGTGCTGATTGCTACCTTAGTATAAAAATAAATACAATAATAATCTCAGGACAATTTACACAACGCCATCTAGCCCAAGTTAGCTAGCTAAAGCTTGTGTTATGGGTACTAGGTAACTGATATAAATACATAGATACGTTTTTATTTTTGTAAATACCTACATATTATACATAGAAAATACCCAGACCGATACAAACAATCATACTCAGGAATACAAATGTTTGTGCCGTGGGAGAAATTGAACCCGCGACCTTCGGAAGTAAGGCGCTGTGCTAAACCACTAGACCACTAAGGTCGTCAAAAATAAAAAAGTAAGTTATGCAAATTATCATCAGTCTTCGACCTGAATATAAGTTACAGTTTCTCTTGCAGTCCATGGTCTACAGACTACAGAACGCCACGCACCACCATTGCGACCCTTGACATTGTACTCGATATTTGTACGGCAACAATGCAAGCAAAGGAATGTAGCGGGTGAAACCAGAAAACGCAAGCAACGTCAATTAAACATATTGTTCAGAACACTGAGAAGGGGGAGAGGGGTGAGGCATCTGCCGTGAATTCTGGCGTATAATTTTATGTAATGGAAAACACGCAGAAGCTAGTGATTGTGTAACAGATTGTTGAATATAAATTAAGTCCGGTATAGTGTCAGCTCCAGTTAGCAAGTCATCATAATAAAAATCATGTTTTAATATGTCTGAAATTCTCTTATCCTTACACTCATGTGCCAATTGTAAAAGACAGCGCTAACTAAGATAAGGAGCTGACACCGTGAACTCTGAATGGGAAAGAAAGACCGGTCGCCGCGCGGATCAGCGGTACCGGCAGATGCCTCACCCCTCTCCCCCTTCTCAGTGTTCTGAACACATATTCATGTGCCAAGATTCGCTGTAGCTTATTCAAGCTTAGAGGAAATTAAAAAAGTCTTATCTTTATTAATTTATTATATATCTAATACTATACGTATGAGAATATATAAATTATCCAAGATAACATAGTGTTGGCCTGGCATGGCCCTGCCCTTGATATTGAGGTGTATGCGTGTACCCATGCGCCTCCACAAATGTGAGCGAACCATTTTACTAAACTGGGTGAACCTACAACATATACAGGGCGGGCTAACGCTGCCGGAGGCGCGGTGTAATGCTAACGCAACCTTGCAACTATGGCAACGTCCATTTGGAAGTAAACCATAACTTTTTAATTAGTAAAGCACGGCGGGTGGAGCTCTGAAAGATTTTCCACACGTAAGAAAAGTGTTCAAAATACTAATTTACTCAATCTCTTTTTAATTTTTTAAACTTTCGTGTTTATATCGACATTTGACTAGGTTGCACTAGCCGTGGTCATGAGCTGACTGTAGTCAGTCAAGGTAAATTAAAAATTAAAACCTTCTTTTGCCATAAAATTAGTTCGTGTTAAGACCCGGTTAATAATATAAATAATGTACTCAATCTCTCTCTACATACAAAATACATACCCCTTTAAAGATATTCTTAAATTCTCAATATGTAAGTGAACTTTCACAGCTGTATTTTGGATTTCAGTCTTTCTTACTGTACTAATTTTCTCAAGATTACTTAAATCTTGCATTGTATTTTCACTAAAACATAAAAGAGAAATATACATATTACAATAACTATTAAAATGAAATCAATTATTATCAATCGATGTTGGAATTCTTATATATATTACGCCTAACACTAGTTAATTGGCACTGTAATTGAATTGTAACGGATTATAGACTGTCTGCATTAAAGTTATCTAAAGAAATAAAAATAAAATAATTTACCAAAAACCGTATACTTCTTGGGAGGCTTCCTTTATTTCTTTCATAAGTCTAGCAGAGAAGTATTTAAATGTTCTGTTATCTTTATTTGTATATTCAGGTAAATTTGTGACATTATTTAATGACCGTGGTGATACAGTCGGATCAAAGTCGCCATCAATTTCATCACCATCGTCTTCAATGTCATAATAATCGCCCTCAGAATAATCTTCTTCTTCCATACCATAGTCTTCGTCATATTGAACTGAATAATTCAACCCACTCAATTCCAATAGTGGTCCTTCAAACTTTCTTTTTAATCTTTCCTCAAAATCTGAGCATTTTGTGAAATTCCTTATAAAGCGTGGTTCTTTATTAGCGCCTAAATCCGGAGACACATTGTTCGTTGAATTAGAGATAGGCTCTATTTTATTTAAGCATTGACTTTCAGGTGTATCTAATTTTCCGATTTTACTTTTTTTCAAGTGGAGAGATGATAGAAATGAATCCTTCAGATCAATTTTCCTAACGAATGTAACTTCTTTTGGTTTCTCTTCGTCATCCTATAACAGTCAACAGAATCATTAGAAATATAGAATGACATACATTTTAATAAATCAATATCTATAGGATGTTAGGGAACCATAACTAGAAATAAGCATATCATTATATAGATTATACATAGATGAATAATTATTAAATGTATACATCAACCAAAATATTGCGTAAGAAAATTGTATATTTTATTTTCTTGACAAATAAAATTATAGTTTATAGATTATCCACGCATATGTATGACATGCTTTTAGTAACAAATAACTGTTATTTGTTGAAATTAAACATTACCCTGGTGATACATAATACCATTACTACAAATTTTATTAAAATCCATTCAGCTGTTTAGTTGTGGAAAGGCAACAAACAGACAGAAGTTTCATGACTATCATAGGTACGAATTCGCTTTTTGCAATGTGAATATTAATTGTCAAACCCAAATAATTCAAGAGAAAACATTGGATTCAGCAAAGTTAAGATAAGTAATACTATTCCGAGCAAACATACCTGCATCAGTTTTTTGTTAGAAGTCAAATTATCTGAATTTGATCTTTTATTACTAACAATTTCTATGTTTTTAGGAGATGTTCCGGTAGCTGCTTCTTCATTGTCAACATCACCATTTTCTTGATTACCTGTAAACAAATAAAAATTTAATGGATGTTTTAAAAACAGTAAATACTTGAAGACTATTTTATAATCATGCAAATAGAGGCAAGTTTTTAGAATACAATTATTTAGAAAAATATAAACCAGATTACTTTATAGTGTTGAAACAATAGGACATAAGGATGAAATTTTCACAGATTTCAGACATGTTGTTAATTATGGCTCAACATTTAAAGTAGCGAAAATCTAATGAGATGTAATAATGAATGTAGTTAATAGTTTGAATACATAACTTACTATAATTTCATTCGTTCTAAAAATTCGTTCTTTAATTTAAAAAAAATAGATGACGTCTCCAAATCGCAAATCCCTAGTAGTGGTTTACTAGTAGAGCAAAACACCATCGAAGGCACTTCTTAGTAGTAGAGAAATTTAGATTGTAAATATATTAAAAAACACTTACTAATAAAGGTAGTTTGGGAGATTGCACAGGAAGGTTCAGTGATATTATCGCTAAATGAATCATTGTGACCTTCCAAATTTTTAATATCACTTAACAAGTTTGCTAGTGATCCAGCAGCAGTTTGGAGATCTTCTGACTTATCGAGTATAGCCTGAAATGTATTTAGCAAAGTCATAAAGTTGTTCGAGAGGCTGAGATGGTTGGGTGCAACGTTCACAGTTGTTATCTAGGCAATTACATACATGAGAAATGACACCTAAACTGTATCCCTTTCTGACCTGACTTTTTTTTATTTAGACTAGTATTTTCATTTGTAATGCTGTTGGCTCAAAATTAATATTTCTATCAGCTGTCTGTAAATGGCTTGGATTCAAAGTCCGTCACAGAGCTGTCTCGCAGGCATACACGTGACTACTGTACCAACCAACCAATAGAAAACACTTTTATTGCCTGTTTTAGAAACTCACTCTCATGTTATATCAGTTTCGTACATAAAAACGCATTGCATGTGGTTCTCAATGGAGACCAAATTCAAATTCAAATTCAAAGCCTTTATTAATTGACACAAAATTATACAAGCTATCGTAATATTTGATTAAAAGTTTAAAATATAAAAGAAATATTAGTTATATATACATTTTATGTTACTTCTAATTCTGCACATCAGTCTCTGAGTCAACGTGTCCTTTAGACACAAAGGCCTCCTCCAGTGTTTTCCATGTGTTCCTATCTTTTGCCAATCGGAGCCACAGTGGGCCGGCAATCTTTCTAAGGTCATCAGACCATCTCTTGTACTGTCTTCCTCTTTTTCGTTTCGTTTTATGACAGGGAATCCACTCAGTTACAGTTTTCGTCCATCTCATATTTCCCCTTAGTGTGTGACCTGTCCATTTCCACTTCAACCTTTTTATTTTAGTTGTAACTTCATCCCAACCTGTGATAACTCTTATGTCCATCGCTCTCTTTCTATCTCTCCTGTTATAACCCAACATGCTTCTCTCCATACTCCTTTGGCATGTTACAAGTTTTTGCATATTTTTCTTGGTCATTGCCCATGTTTGGCATCCGTATGTTAGTATTGGTAAGATACAGGTATTAAAAAGTTTCTTTTTTAAGTTAATGGGGTATTGTTTGCTTTTCATTATAGTTTTCAATGACCAGTATCTTTTCCATGCACTTGTAACTCTTCTTTCTATTTCCTGTTCCATTTGGTCTTTTATTGAGAGTTGTCCAAGGTAAATATGATGTTACATAATCTATATGTTCTTTTTCTAATTTGATTGGCTTCATTTTTGTTGGTCATTATTGTAGTTTTTATCTTATTTATTGTTAACCCGACTTCTTTACTCACTTTTATAAGTTCTTCAAGCATCATTTGTAGAGTTTCTGGGCTATCTGTCATGAGTACCAAACCATCAGCGAATCGTAAATGATTGAGTTTTTTCCATCTATTTCAATACCTGCATTGTCCCAATCAAACGTTCTGAAGACCTCATCAAGAACGCATGTGAATATCTTGGGAGATAAAGGATCACCCTGTCTAACGCCCCTGCTAATTGGAAAGACTTCCCCTAGTGATTCAAGTTTGACGCGTGCTGTGCTGATCTTATATACGTTCCTTATGAGTCGTATGTATTTATTCTCTATTCCTTGGTTCTTGAGGGCTTGCCATATAGCATTATGTTTGAGAGAGTCAAACGCCCTACTATAGTCTACGAAAGCAAGGTACAAAGGAAGTCCGTATTCTTTGTATTTTTCAATTATTTGTTTTAATGTGTGCATATGATCTACAGTGGAGAAACCTGACCTGAATCCTGCTTGTTCGATTGGTTGATGTTCATCGAGTTGTTTCGTAATACGATTCAATATGATTTTGACAAAGACTTTATAGATATTGGACATAAGGCTAATTGGACGATAGTTAGATATGTCTTCTTTATCTCCCTTTTTGTGGATAAGTATTATGTTGCTTGTCATCCATTGTGAAGGAATATACTCTGTCGCCAAAATGATGTTGAAGAGGCTCGTTAGTTTTGGTAAAGTTTCAGACAATGTCATTTTTATAGCTTCATTTCTTATGTTATCAGGTCCCGCTGTTTTTTGATTTTTAAGCGTACTAATAGCGTATTCTACTTCACTTTCTAAAATAGGTAAGATGTTTACTTCATTTTCTTCATCTAGACAGATTTTTTTATTGTAGGCTTGACTTGAATAGAGGTTTCTGTAGAAGTTTGTTGCTATATTTAAAATACAGGTTCTGTTTGTTGTTTGGTTCTTATTTTTATTATTTTTAATTTTCGAGATTCATGTTTTTGATAACTGTAATTCTTTCAGTGCTTTTCTAATTCCTCCTGTCTTAGCAATATGGTATTTAATACAGTCTACTTTTCTTATTTGTTTATCCTTTTTTTATACTACTGCTGATTTCTTTGCTTATTTTTGTGATGTCTTTTAAAGTATTATGATTCTTCTTGTTTTGGATTAATATTTTTCTTGTTGCTATGAGTTCTTTTGTTTTATTACTTATTACGTTTTTCTTTTCTCTTTTCGGTTTTGATTCAATGGAGACCAACTTATACCCAAAAAGGTCGTAAGTTCAAACGTGACCGTCATTAAAATACATATAAATAATACTTCGCATTTTCACGTCGTTAGGTGGTAGAGAGTATCATGCAACTGCACTCATTTTTTAAAGTTACATAATGAGCAAAATTTGTATGTAATAATCAAATTGACGAAGCATTTTATTTAAAATATAACATTTTATAAAATATAGCACTAAATACATACCTGTAAAGCATTAACAAGGTATACCCCATAGCTGTACATTTCCATGAATTCAGCAGGTTTAGTTTCAATGCCAATTCTTCCTGGAAATTAAATACAGACTTTACAGCTACTTAATAAGCTAATTTATAAAACTAAAAGCAAAAGACAGTTGTAAAACGTAGTACAATTACATTTTTCAAAACTCGCGCTCGATATTTCAGTTTAAAACGAAATATCCTTTTGTATATCATTTTTATTTTATTGTTCTTTGTTTGTCTGTGCGCAATAAAGAGTTATTATTGTTATTATTATTATCCTTTTTATGGGCTTTCCGTTATCAATACATTTGGGTACTACATATTTAAGAAATTTGCCGGTATATAACACTAAGTAGTAGTAAAATAATGACCAATTGCCATAGAAGGAAGTAGAAGTAGTAACATTTAGTCTTCCATACTGATAATTTGTACAACATTGGTGTACCAGGTATCTACGTGTTTGCCTATAAATGGTTTTAAAGTGGATTTGGAATCTTCTCATTTAGGGATTACATTCCAAACAATAAACTTTCAACCTACTGAATATTTTTTTTAGAAATAACATAGCGGAAATATATGTGTTATATGATATTAAATTGAACCTTACCTCCTGTATCACTTATTTTAAATAAAATATTTGATAATTTTGATGCAGCATCATTAATGATATGACTATTACTGAATCTCTTCTTTATACACTCTGTTGCTTCATGGATAGTCCAAGGTGGTGGCATAGAATTATGTAAATCTCTGGTATCTTGTTCCAGTACTTGAGTTAGAACTTCTTCCATGATTTGTACAAATCTTGATATCCACTCATCACATCTCATCTTTAAATACTCTTCCATGCCAAGATCAGTAATTTCAAACAGAACACTGCTAACCTCTGTATCGTTATTTTCATTGAAACTTGGCCTTAGTGTATTAATACTATGCACACTTTCTGAATCTACATTACTTACTGTATTTGATATAATATCAGAATTTGATGTTTCGTCTATAATGACATTATCGCTTCTATTTCTATATAAAATACCACAATTGCTACTTTCGTTACTATCTTCATACATGTTTAGTCTATCTTTAGATAATAATTCATTAGGTAGCTGTTGAGAAAATGATTTGTCGACATCCATTTGCTTGCTATTGCAAGTTACATTATCTGATAAATTTTGATTTTTATTAATAGCAGATGAAATAGGAACAGTTTTTTTTCTTTTGTGCCATTTATATTGTTTTTTATCTGGATTTCTGTCACCTATTTCATTTACCATATTTCGCTTTAATCGAATCTTTTTCTTGCTTGTGTTTGTACTTGAATCTATTGTATTGCTGATACCATTAGGCATATTAGATAATATTTGATTAGGATTTGTATTAATACTAACAATATCTTGTTCAACTATAACTTGTGGTGAAACAAAATCAGTCTGTACACCTGCATCAACTGTCTTTTTAACTACAGGAGTATTATCGGTTTGTATATCAATTTCTTTCCCATTTGACACAGTTTCATTTACTACATTATCATTGTGAAGGCAATTAATATTATTATTAGATTCTTGCGCCTCATTATTAAGAAAATCATTATTGGTATTTGGTTCCTCATTGGTTTTATCATTAGGAAAATATTCCCCATCAAGTTCTACAGACATTTTATTATTTGGTATAGTAATTTTTATAGAGCGTTCCTCAAATGGCTGTGGCATTTGAATTTGTAAAGCCTCCTTAGAACAGGTGGTAGTATATAATAGAACTTTTATTTCTGTAATAGTAAGTATTGGTACTTTTGTTGCTAACTTTGACTGTTGCCAAATTTCTTCATGAGTTATATAAATCTGAAAATTTATATTGTATGATATTAAAGGATTTTTACATGATAGATTACTAAAAGATGTGTAATATGAATAATTTAAACAAGGGACTTACTAGTGGGTTATGCTGCTCTACTAATTTTGAGCAAAAATTTAGTAAGCAAATTTCTTTTTCTTGCGATGATTTATTTGAGTCTTCTCCTAAAAATTAAATTAAACACATTAATAGGTAACAAGCAGATATAACATAGCTAAAGAAATATAGCTCGCTTTTCCCATTCATATTTTCCATAGTTTAATTTGTTAAATTACTAACACTTACCAATAACAGCAGAACCAATAGCAAACTGATGTGAAAGAAAACGCAAGGCACATCTTGCGCGATTCTTGATACGTTTGTCACAGTCAGCTCGTGCATCACGCTGTATTTTTAAGAAAAGCTCTTTGGCAATCATCAATTGGCACATTTCATCTACAAAATAATATTAAGTTATAGTAAATGAAAATATTGAAACAATACTCCACAGGTGATATATTGTGATAAATTGTACCTAAAATTAAATGAATACTGAAAAGTATTAGTACTTTAATCTTAATCTGGTTAAGAAAACAGTAACGCTAATTGGAGAACTTTTATTTTCAACTTTTAAAGTCAAGTCAAAATAATTGTAGAAACAATAATGAGTCAGATAGATTCTTCGGAGATTTGCAATTTATAATAATAACTGTAGTTCTATTTACAAGTCCTTTACTAAGTAATGTAATAGTATGCTCAACCCTTTACTTTGCTTTAGTGGACAGTGCATAGACCTTATTGGAGTTGCAACACATTACAAATAGCTTTGATGAAAACATTGTTGAATAATAATTAGAACAATACCTGAATTAATAATAGTATTCAAAAATTTGTAGTGATTTAGTATAACACCTCTATCAACAACAATATACCATCGGTCAGAATTTGTGTTAGGTATGATCAATTTTCTTAAGGGTGATACATCCAGCATAATTTTTTCTCCTTCTGTATGGCCATGGACCTGAAAATTTCAAGTACTTTTTTGAAAATGAATTATTGAATTTATAGAATTCCTCTCATAATGCATTAGTACAATATTGTTATCATAATTTGAAACTGATAGGGGAAGGGATTGAGTAGATAGTAATGAGTACTAATGACACCCCTCATTCAGCCACCATCCACAGTCCCTCTGGAAATCATATGGGTAATTCTTGCCGAATTTTCTTGGCGAAATGTATTGACCTTGTCATCTTCCACTGCTGCCTCACCAGCATAGACCCTTAGAACAGGTGGGTGCACCAGTCCATTATCTCAAATTAACATTCTTTCAAATTACTTACAACCATTCCTAATATAGATACACATTTGATTCAATGAGCATTGTAAACTACATTCACATCCCTTGCTTTTACTACAAGTAGAGTTATATTTTTTATCAACTCTACAATTACAGAAAACTTTATAAATTTGAAAAGCAGATGTAGCAGCACATGTATGTTAAATTGTAACTTCTTATATACTTGGCAACATGTATGTAAAAAAATTTACTAAATATAAAGATGATAGTGAACAAATACAAACTGGCTACATCATCTAGAATCACTGTTGTGGGCACATTAATTAATTCTGAATTATAATCAGTATGGCAGTTACCTCGAGCCAATCATCATCAACATCACTAGCACATAATTCTTCTTCTTCATACTTAAGTTGTGTAGGACTGCATGCTTTTGGTTCAACATTGTCCACATTACATCCTTAAAAAAAGTAAAAAAATTTAAAATAAAATAAATAATATAACAAATAATATTAAAAAAATATATACCATTGTTTTTTGCATCATGACTTTCCATTGATTCTTTTTCTTCCGATCTCTTAGCTGATATGACTTGGCGAAGATCATTAGACTTATTTCTAAATCTTGAGGTGTGACTTTGACCTGCATTGTGCCTAAATCTATTATTATAAAACTTCGGACTGAACTTATGATAACCATTCATATGTCTTCGTAAATGATGTCTATGTCTTGTTTCATTTATACTGAAATGTCTTGAAAGTGGAAATGTTGTTTGATGAGGAGACACAATGCTTCGAAAGTTATTATATTCAATTAATGATGTATGTCTTTCATTAGTTATTGTTGATGATGATGGAGCTATAAAAATCTGGTGGGTGGAAGGAATAGCCCAGATGTTTGGATTAAACATGGGTTGTGCATTAATATTCAGTCCCAGTGTTTCAACTTGATTGATGGGCACAAAATTAGAATGCTGTGAAACTTGCGCGGCAAATGGGGACTTTGTAATCTGAGTGTTTATAACTTGGTTGTTAAAAATATTTGATGGTTCGTAATTATGCAAGTGATGTTGATGAGTCATTCTAGATACACTACAATGGGTACTGGAATCCATGGGTGGTTCCTTTGGCTCAGGACACCCCTCCAATGGACCTCCTACTTGATTTCGAAGATTGTTTGTTATTTTCTTTGCTTTTTCAACCTGTAACGTAAAGTCTAAGATATAATTTGTAATACACCAGTATTAATATACATTACTTAGATTCGAAATATTACTCGCCTCTGCATTGCTTAAATTCCATGCCGCTTCTCCAGTCAATGTATTGAAGTAATAAATACGTCCAGAGTACGACTTAGATCTACATAAAACCCAAGAATTGCCAATAGATGTAACAACAGAATTGTTACTATTTTTTGGATCGTCTCCATCCATTATTTTCTGAAAATTAATATAAGTTTTTAAACACAATCTATACCATATATTTGTTCTAAATATCAGAGATAATAATAATATAAATAAGACATATTTTTTGGCAGTTTCAGTGTTGCCAATTTAGATTATGATTGGCTTTAGACCGCGACTATAGAAATAAATTAAATTGTGAACGAACAATTTTTTTCGGTCAAAGTAGTGTGCAATTGTCATTCATTAATCATCGACGTCTAAAAAACATCGATGGTTTGATGTTAAGTCTTCGATAACGGCAAACGTTCAAAAGAAAAATTACAACATATAAGACCGGGACTGACATTTACTTAAACTTAAATAAAGTCCATTAAAAAACACAAATTGACACCAAATCAGACAAATTGATACCTATCTAGAAAGCCTGACGATAGTATCCAGAATAGAATAGAATAGAATAGAAAATCATTTATTCAAATAAACTTACATTGAAGCACTTTTGAATAGTCATAACATTTTTTTTTTTTAATCTACCGCTCATTCGGAATGCTGTTTCATCACAAGAAGAACAAGCAAGAAACTTGTGTGTTGCTCTTTTAAATAATTTATTCTTACTTACAATTTAAGTTTAAGTGTGTGAATACAAACCACCGATTAGCACTAATTCAATTAAATACTCAAAAAGAAAAAATATTGAATACATAACCAACTGGTTAAACAATTAATAAGAGGACATCAGTCATAGTGATTAGAGCAGACCAGTCCCTACAAGCAGCACCCGTTCATCTTTTATATGACGGATGAGCCAGCCATCACTGCGCTCGACCATATTTTAGGGAGCCCAATGACCCGGCCCACCACGCCGCCACAAGTCCGGACATTTTAGTGTAAATATGATTGATGAAAACACCAGACCACGTCATAGCTACTCACAATTGCCATCTGATGTTTATAGTATTCACATTTCACATAAGAATGCATGCGGCAATTAATACAAAACCCGCTACGCTTTCATATTTCTAAAATAATTGAATCAAGAAAGCAATGAGATAAACAAATTATAACGTTGTATGCTAATAAACTAATTATTTACTTGATATGTTGTCTTCTATGAATTCGTCTATCCTGTAATAGGCTTTCTTACATAAAAATTGTTTAATATAAGATTTGAATTGCCTCTCTGTCAGATTTAGTGCAGATTCTGGCAGTTTATTATAAAATCTTACGCAATTACCATAGAATGAATTACTGACTTTGTGCAGGCGGCATTTAGGTAAAATTAGCTTATTTTTATTGCGTAAGTTTCTATTTGTACAGTCTTTAAGTTTTCTAAAACTGTCTAAATTCTTCCGTGTATACATGATATTCTCATAAATGTATTGTGAAGTGACGGTGAGGATATTTGAATCTTTAAAACACTGACGTAATGACTCTCTTGAACCCATACCATAAATAGAACGTATGGCTCTCTTTTGTAAAATAAATATAGTATTTATATCGGCTGCTTTACCTTGACACATAGTAGTATACCATATGACATAATGCTATGGAAATAACTAAAGTATACAAGTTTAGCCGTCGCCACGTCTGTTAATTGCCTAATTCTTCTAATTGCATATGCAGCTGAACTGAGTCTATTGGCCAATTTTGAAATATGGGGCCCCCATTGTAATTTCGAGTCCACTGTTATACCTAAAAAAACTGTATCATTAACAAAATTTACTATTTCGTCATTAAGCAATAACTGTGTATTTATTGGTCTTACATTAGGAAGTGTAAATTTTATACACTTTGTTTTGCTGGAATTTAATAATAGGTTATTACATGTAAACCAATTTAATATAGCAGACATAGCACAATTTACATCGTCTAATTGATTAGTTTGACGTCCAATTTTAAACACTAACGAAGTATCATCCGCAAACAGCACTACATATATCTGCAATTTTCTCTACCATAAAGGGAAGGTCATTTATGTAAATTAAAAAGAGAAAGGGGCCTAAGATTGACCCTTGTGGAACGCCCATCCCAATATTAGCTCCCTTAGATTTTATACCGTCAATATCTACAGTTTGGACCCTATCCTATAAATAAGTTCTCATTAATTTTAGATCATTATCTTTTATACCATAATGTTCGAGCTTGTACAAAAGTGTTTTATGATCCACGCAATCAAATGCCTTTGATAGGTCACAAAAAACTCCGTGTGCATCCTGTGACTTCTCCCATGATTGGAAAATATGTGTTATCAGCGCTACACCTGGGTCAGTGGTAGACTTGCCGGCGGTAAAACCATATTGTTGACTGTGAAGCAGTCGGTTATCCCTGAAGTGTTGTAACATTTGATTTAACATTATCTTTTCAAACACCTTACTTAGAACTGGCAAAATAGATATAGGTCTATAGTTCCCTGGCTCAAATTTATCTCCTGATTTAAATAGTGGGATTAATTTGCTAAATTTCATTAATTGTGGAAAAGTCCCATTATCAATACATTTATTAAAAATAGTAGCTAGATATGGAGCAACAATATCTATGAAAGAACTAACTACTTTTACAGACATGCACCAAAGGTCTTCTGTATTTTTTAAATTTAGATGTTTGAATATTTTTATGATATGAACGGGGCTAACATGTGAAAATTTAAATCTTAAAGCACAACAACCGATATTAGACTCTAGTAATATTTTTGCTCGAGATGGAGATGAGTCCAGAGAAGATGTAATATTAATCGGAATATTAGCAAAAAAATCTTCAAAAACATTAACTACATCTTTTGTTGCTGTTATTAATTTATTATCATAATTTAATGCAAATTGATTATAGGCTAATTTAGATCTTCCGGTTTCTTTATTTATAATGCCCCAGATGGTTTTAATTTTATCAGAAGACTGGTTAATTTGTTTATTAATATAATTAGATTTAGCCGTAATACTAAACTTTGTGCATTCCTGGACTATTACAAACTTTTTTAAAAATTTTTGAATAATTTTTCACATAAGTGGTGAATTTGTCATCAAATCGATATTTTTTTTGATCGTATAAATCAAACAAAATATTTCTACTTTTAAGTATACCTACTGTTGCCCATTCCGTGAATTTAGATTTAACATAAACTTTTTTTTTCTTGAAAAATTGTTCATATTCTCCTGATAGAATAGTAATTAGCTTGGTGTAAAGATAATCAGGATTATTACTATATTGTAACAGCAAATCCAATTTATTTTTAATCGCGCTTTTGTATTTGTTAATATTGTAAACATTTATTTGTCTTTTTGATTTTTTATTATTGTTGACTTTATTGATCTGACTGTTAAACTTAACAACTTGACCACAGTGATCTGAAGGAAGTTTATTTATTATGAATTTTTCTGTATACTCACAGTTACAAAAAACATTGTCAAGACAAGTAGCAGACGTGGCAGTTACACGAGTGGGTTCATGAAAGACATGACTTAAATAATGACTGAAATAAACTAATAATTTTTGTACATGTGGGTGTGTTACAAAGAATATCAACGTTAAAATCTCCACATACAATAATTTTTTTAAGACTATTAAATATTTTTTTTAATATATCCTCCATCACCCCTTCAAAAACATTGTAATCACTATTAGGAGGCCTGTACACACATAAGGATATAATTTTCTAGTTCTATACAAGATAATTCTATACAACACTCAATAGAAAGTCTAACAATGTCAGCACGTTCCTTTACTTTAATATTATTTCTTGCAATTAACATCATATTGCTTCTCTTTAAGCCAATGTTCTGTGAAACAGACAATATCAATATTATACTTTTCTAAAAATAATTGTATAATTAACTCGCTGCCGGGAAAACTTTGTATGTTCTGATGAACAATTATTAATTCTGATTGCTTTCCCTTTGTCTTTGTGAGCAGTTTAAATCTGCAGTCATAGTATTTATGTCACAAATATTAATAGAATTATTTGTTATGTCAGTATTTTTATGAGATAAAATATAATGACAAACTATACAGAATATAATGCGTACCAAGACTCGATATACATCTACAAATCAAGTATGTAAATAGCTTTTATACGGATTTTGTGGTTGGCGGAGAAATATTTTTAACAATAGAAACTAGTGGCCTCATATCCAGTCCAGCAATCAAACTGTTAGATTAGTCTACCAAACGGTCTCCCTGGATAACATCTACAACATCCTGCAATATATGCTGTTAGATCAATCTCTAAAAGGTCCCCTTGGATAATATCTACATCATCCTATTTCGTACATGTTAGAGACGTCATTAGTTTTCGGCAATTTTATATGTTGAGTACGTTTAAGCAATATTTATCTTCCTTACGGGGTGCATTAGAGGATTTTTTTTATTGAGTGTTTTTCAGGCATAGCAATAAGTTTGGCAACCCTTTATTTTGGTTATTTGCTCAGTGATTCGTTTCATATCATTCAATTCAATCATTCATTATTTTATTTTCAATCTGAAATGTTTTGCTATCTATGCTGCATACAATAATGTTTATTATTTATTTACTAGTATTCTACTTGTTTCTTGCTGCTACGAAGTTTACCATTATAAACACAAAAAAATGTACCTTCATATATAAAACTAAACTATATTGTCTGTAAAATACAGTTGAAATAAAATTAATAAGGCTTTTTCATAGGTACATCACTCAAGATTAAATTAAAAAGTGAAAATGTCGCACCGGAGATCAAGTGTTCAATCAAATGATATGTTTCCAAGGGAAATTGATATAGAAATTTGTTTAAAAACATTAAAAATATACCAGAAAATGGAAGGAGATGTCAACTGCGTAGTGTGGGATGCATCATTAGTTTTAGCAAAATATTTAGAAACCATTTGTCAGAAGAAACCTGATTTCTTAAGCGGCATCAAAGTATTAGAACTAGGTTCAGGATTAGGTGTAGTTGGACTCACTGCAGCGACTTTAGGGTCAGTATTTATTCTCTAAAGCTATTCTATGACCATATCTGTTATAATTGTATATAATATGTGCCCTTTCCTAATTTTACTAACTTTCAGTGCCCAAGTAACACTCACAGACTTGCCAGAAGCTTTGCCACTTCTTCGGTTAAATATAAATGAAAATAAGTCAAAAATTGCTAGTATGGGCGGTTATGCTATTGCAGAATCTTTGGTGTGGGGTGACAGTGGCTCAGAGATCCTAAAAGAAGAGTTTGACATGATTGTATTAGCAGATTGTGTATATTATGAGGAGGTAACTTTGTTGTCATCAGTAATGATATATCAAATCCATAATCATAGTGTATATACAGTTTTAGTTTAATTTTTTTATTAATATATAATTTGTAAGCAATACTTTAGATATTATTATTTGTAACAAATTCTATTGATTAATGTTTTGTTTACTTTTTTTCAGGCTGTAATGCCCTTAATTCAAACTCTTCAGTGTTTAAATAACACAATAACAAAGAAGCCAATTATTTACTTAACACAAGAGTTAAGAGATTCAGATACCCAGAAGAGATTATGGGAGACTTTTTATGAAAAGCTAACTGAATTCTTCTATGTGGATAAAATTCCTGAAGAACAACAACATGCAAATTATAGAAGTTCAGATATAGTTTTATTAAGGATAAATAAAAAATAATATTTCTATAGTAATAAGTAATAACACATATTCTTTATTGTTACAATGACGAATTTATGTTTAAATAGCTTTTCTTTTCAAATAACTGTTATAAATTGTCACAAGTTTGAATTGTCAGAATACAATGGAGATAAGCTAAACTCTGTATATTTATAAATGGAACCTAAGAAGTAATTATAAGTATTAAATTCTGTATAGTACTAGAAATGTTTATTAGAATACTAGTGACCTGTTCATAACAGATATTATTGATATACAGGGTTCCTTGAAACTCGACGTATTCCCATCAAATATTAGGTTGAAAGACATACCACAAGCCATTTTTTTAAATAATGTTGTAAAGACGCTGAATTGTATATTTTTTTTAAATTCAGAATACCTCGAAAACATTAACTTTCGGTCAAACATTAGAGGGTCAAAATTATTGCATTTAAGCTCCTCTATCTCGTCCTGACGGGAATACTTCAAGTTTCTAGTAACTCTATAAACATGATCAAAATGGCAGTGAAATACCTCAAAATCCTATGTTTTTTTATTAAGAAAGAAAGATTAGACTTTATTTATATATAGTATAGAGTAAATACCTTTTAAACGCGGTGCTTGTTTTAAATGAAGTTTCAGCGTAAAATATAATAATGCCTATGAACAATCCAAGATATTTAAAATATATATATATATATGTATATATAAGAAAATAAAAAATATGAAGACATCTGGCTGGCTGTATGGCACAGTTCCCTTTGCCTTTTCGATAAAGGATAAACAGAACCAAAAAAATGCACTTAGTTTAAATTTTGGCTTCCGTACGATGGATCTACCAAGATATTAAAGAGTAAAGTAAATATAGCAAAAGGGTAGATATCCAGTGATTCTGAAGATTATAGGGCGAGCTAGGATTTATAGCTCGTATAAGATGTAAGCGGCAAGTAATCGGACATTGAATTTTTTGTACAAGATCAACAATAACGTCTATCGCTCAATAGTGTCGTTTAATATACTAGGTATTAAGTAAATCAGGATTGAGCGCAGTGGAATGTTTTGTTATTTATAAGAAATATATTAAAAAGCTTAAGACACTATTTTTTATTGAGATAATTTTTATATATAGATTAATGATAGTATTTATAATGTTTGTTGCTAAGTAACAACTCGCTAAGAAGTATGTATACTTCTTCACACTAGGCGTGAAATAAAATGACAACAAAATTTTTGATTTTATTGTTTTTATATTTTATGTAATTGCAACTCCCTCTACTGCCTATAGTTTTAAAAGGAAAAAAGTTACTTTTGAATGGTTTACGAGGAAATTTTGAATAAAAGACTACGTCTTTATAGTATTGGGATTTTATTTATGCAGAGGGCAAATGAGGAAACACCATTTTATTCGCAGTCGTCTTTTTTATTAATGTTTTCTCTTTTTATATACAAATAATATATGTCAATATATCAAAGGAGTTTTATGTCTAACAACGCCCCACAACTTCTAATCTAGTAAATTTGAAATTGTTACCATGATACATACGAACATACATCGAATATCACCGTATATAATATCGATAGACGGTGTAAAAAACTAATCTTAATTTGAAATTTATACAATACAATAGAAGTCGAGTTTACATTATATTCATTTTGAAAGTTAAATAAGAATGTTGGTTGAAAGATAGAGCTTTAGTAAATACATCGGAAATATTTTTGTTACTTTCTACATAGGATATATTAATTATTTTCTTAGCAATAATATCTTTTACGTAATGAGCTTTAATATCTATGTGTTTTGATCTTTTGCTATTTTCATAGCTTTCAATTAATGTCAGAGTACTTTGATTATCAATCAATAATTTACAATTTATATTTAGTGAGGTAAGATCTGACAAGACGCCCTTCAAATTAACTATCTCACAAACTTTTATTTCATCATAATTCGTGGGCTGCACAGTGGAAGCGTGCTATTGGGATTTTATTTATGCAGAGGGCGAATAAGGAAACACCATTTTATTCGCAATCGTCTTTTTTATTAATATGTTTTCTCTTTTTATATACAAATAATATATGTCAATATAACAAAGGAGTTTTATGTCCAACATATAGAACATTTAATGTATCTAGACGGCGTTTATGACATCCTTTTAAAAAACAAATTATTCTTTTTTACAAGTTTTATGTTACAAAATATAAAAAGTGTAATTATTATTAGAAATGTAACTCACTAATATAGGCTATATAGGGTATAATAACAGGATCATTATTAATATCTGTCGTGAAGCCATTAAATATAAGAAGAAGATTTTAGTTACATTTTATCTGTCAAATAGTCGTGTACAATTTTTAGTTTATTAAAGCCTAATAATGGGTAAATCTAGTTTTAATTAATAATTCAATACTATATTCATATCAATTTAATAAACTAAAAATTACTTATAATCTATAATGGATAAGTATCTAAGACCCGAAAGATTCGATGCAGATCCGTCAGCAAATCTTGATCAATCTCCGCTATGGATACATTGGAACCAAACTTTTGAAAATTTTATTAGTGCTATAAATACTAAGGATAATCCTATTACTCCAGAGCAGTAATACCAAGTACTCGTCAATTACTTATCGCCGATTCTTTATGCACATATCAAGGAATGTAACAACTACACTACAGCGATTCTTAAATTAAATAAATTATTTACAAAACCTGTAAACGAAATCTATTCAAGACATCGTCTTATGAAGCGATATCAGCAATCCGGTGAGTCAGTTCATCAATATATACAAGCTCTTAAACTATTGTCGAAAGAATGTAACTTCCATAAAGTTACAGCAGAACAGAATGAAAGTGAATACATAAGAGACGCTTTCATAGGCGGACTGGTGTCACCTGTAATACGTCAAAGACTGTTAGAAAATAGTACTTTAACCCTAGATGCGGCCTTCCAGCAAGCTCAATCACTGGAGTTAGCAGAAATTCATAATCAGAATTATCTACGTGACACTAATCCTGTAATGAATAATACAAATAACTGTTCTAATATTCCAGTTTTAAAGGATTCTATGTCTGCTGACAATAAGAATACTGATGTCACCGTTGCTGCAACACCAAATTATAGAAATACGTTTGAGTCTTGTTACTTCTGTGGAGAAAAAGACATCCACGAAGATTCTGCCCAGCAGCCAGTTCAACGTGTCTTTCATGTGGTAAGAGGGGTCATTTTGCTAAAGTCTGTCGAAATAAATCTCAACGCAACGCAGCTACCTCCAACGAAAATCAGTCAATCGAAACACTCTCCTGCATACTATCTGCTACAGATTTAAGTAAAGCGACTGTTCCTATTATTATCAATAACAAAATTATGGCTAGAGCACTAATAGATACAGGGAGTACGGCTAGTTTTATTGACAAACGACTGGTTAACCACTATGATTTAATTGAAACACCATATCACCAAAAGATAACGATGGCCAAGTCAAACCTTATATCACATGTAAAAAGCAGATGTGCATTAACTATAGAAATACAAAAACAAAAGGTGGAAGTCAATCTTATGGTGATGGAAGGATTATGTTCCGATGTTATTCTCGGACATGATATGTTAAGTGAACATAAATCATTAGAAATGCAATTTGGTGGTTTTAAACCCTCGCTTCAATTATGTACTCTTATAGAAGCTAAAATAAAACCTGTTAGCTTATTCAGTAATTTACTACCTTTCGAGAAACCTATTGCGATTCGATCTAGGAAACAGTCAGAGATGGATCAAAAATTTATAGATGAAGAGATACAAAAGTTATTAAAAGATAAAATAATTGAACCTAGTCAGTCTCCATGGCGAGCACAAGTCCTTGTTACTAGTAGTGAACACCATAAAAAACGTATGGTTATTGATTATTCACGAACAATAAATAGATTTACTTTATTAGATGCATATCCACTCCCTTCTATTGAAGATGTTATAGCTAAGGTATCTAAACATAAAATATTCAGTAAAATAGACCTTAAAAGCGCGTATCATCAAGTACCTATATTGGAAAGCGAAAAATCATATACTGCCGTCGAAGCAGGAGGAAATTTTATTTATTTATTTATTTACATCGTACTAAGTGAGCTTAACAGTCTCCCAATATGCCCACTTAGGAAGATAATATACAAATACACACAATTATAAACAGTAATTACACAAGAAAAACAAAAGAGAAAAAAAAAACAATAATAATAATAATACCTAATCTCCATTTAACATACTACCTAAATAATCCACTGCCATCCTACGAAACTCCAGCAAATTACAAGTAAATATGTCTAGATCTGGAAAGCGACTAACTACACCGTTGAGTAGACTCAATGCCAGAGAAATAGGAGCCTGTTTGGCCAGCTCTGTTCTTCTCCATGGAACATGAAACAAGTTTCGTCTTCTTGCTTGTACGTAGTTATTGGGCGCTCTTATGGACACCGATGTTAATACCGCTTGGTTACATTTTTCACCTCTCATGACTTTGACTACATATTCCATTAATGCAATCTTCCGTCTTACTTCGAGTGTGTCATATCCCACCATCCCCAACAAAAACATAGTAGGATATATATTAGGGTATGTGACTCTATAACCATACTGCCTTTGATATACATATCGTATAAACTTTTTTTGGAGTTTCTCCACCATGAGTATATATTTTGACTCATGTGGGTTCCAGATAATTGCGTTACTTTCTAGTTTCATGCGTACGAAGACATTATATAGTATTTTAATACTAAGTATGTTGTCTAACTGGTGTGCCTGTCGCAATACAAATCCAAGGGTCCTGAACGCCTGAGTGCATAGTGCACTAATATGACTTCGGAAAGTAAGATCATCGCTCATCAAAACCCCCAGGTCTCTTATAGACTTTACCCTATTTAGCAATGTATTACCTAACTGATAATTATGCCTATAGGTGTCCACATTCCGACTAAATGTTACAAGTGAACATTTGGTGTCATTGAACATCAAGCGATTTCTTCCACACCACTCAAAGATATTGTTTATATCTTTCTGAAGGAGCTCACAATCAGAGAATTTGGTAATTTTAAAAAATAATTTTAAGTCGTCTGCAAACAACAGACAGGACGCCGTAGTGACTACCTCCGGCAAATCATTGATAAATATCAAAAATTCCAAGGGTCCTAAATTACTCCCCTGACTTACCCCGGAATAAGTGTAATATGGCTCAGAGTAGCTCCCATTATACTGCACAAACTGCCTTCGATTGCGAAGGTAGTTGGAGAAAAATTTAGTTAACAATGGAGAAAATCCGGCAGCTGAAAGTTTGTGAAGAAGAACGTCGTTGTCTACACTATCGAATGCTTTTTTTATATCGAAATATGCTGCGTCAACCTGGCTGCCACAGTCCACTGCATCCGTGACATATGTCCAAAAGGACAGTAAGTTGGTAGCCGTGGAACGGCCAGGCCGGAAACCATGTTGGCAGTCAGTAAGTCGGTTCTGTAGTTGTTTACTGATTAGAAAATGTAATATACTCTCGAATAATTTACCGAAGGTAGACAATATTGCCACTGGTCTAAAATCGCTTACATCCGACTTAGAATTACCTTTAGGAATGGGAACCACGCGTGAAATTTTCCACACTTCCGGGTAAATACATTTACTGAGACACAAGTTAAAAAGATAACATATTGGTTTTAAAAATACTGACTTACAGTCTTTTACGATATAAGGAGGAATGCCGTCAGGACCGGCTGAACATTTTGCATTGAGTCGTCTGAATGCCAGCTCCACATCATCGAGACTAATGGCGTCGATATGAACGCGCAAACTTTCTGAACCTGCCACCGCAATTGCTTCGTCTGCGTTCAAAATAGGTGGATTGTTTGCATACACAGATCGAAAGTATTGAGCAAACAATTGTGCTCCATCCTCATCAGATAAAGGTTTTCCTTCTGACAATATCACTTCAGACTTTTTAACTCGACGTTTGGACGTTATATAACGCCAAAAGGTCGACGGATCTCGCCTTAAGTTACTTTCGACTTTGTTTTTGTAAATCTGAAAATCCTCCTTGATGTTCAATTTCACCATTGCCCTAAGCCTCATAAATTCTTGCCTATTATGTACATTGCCATTTTTTTTATAACAACGATGATGATATGCTTTCAACTTAATGTTGCGTTTAGTACAATCGGAGTACCACACAGGATATATGTATCGAGGTGGCTCTGATAAACGCAATTTAATCGGCACGCAATTATTTATACAATCTTTAATAATCTTATAAAAAACAGACACGGCTTCATCTGGGTCAGATATTTCATATATAGAATCCCAGCATGTATTCTCAAAAAAACGATATAAATTGCAGAAATCTGCTTTTTTGAAGTTCCAACCGGTAAAAACAGCAGAATCCACATTCGAGCCCACGCACTTATTATGAACAAACATGTCACTTACCTGTATGCTCAACGGTGGATGATAGTCATCAGGTGGTACCAACCAATCCTCCTCTTTCCGCACTGTGATCTGACTCAACGATGCATTCACCAGTACCAAATCCAACATACCACCTGCACTGTTACACACACAGTTTATTTGCTGAAGATCGCAGAATGACAGTAAATATTCAAATCTAATACGTATATTAGTATTTGCAGAATTCAAATTAAAATCACCACATATTAAAAACCTGTCATATTTGGGTAATACACTTTCTATTTCGGTAAAAACTGTTTCATACATTTCGTCCTTGGCATTGGGCGGAATATAAACACATAGAACTACCAACAATAAATTATTGTTGTGGTACAGTCCCGCGCAAACGAGTTCACAGCCCGAGTCGGCAAGCGATGACGTCACGTCAATTCTATGCAGTTGATATCGTGGACTAGCCGCGACGGCCACTCCGCCGCCTCGCCGCACACCTCCGCGATCCGTTCGTAACATTGTAAAACCGACTGGTACAACTTCCGAATCGTGAATGCTTGAAGTTAACCATGTTTCAGTTATCAGGAATACATCTGCCGTCGCTGCTGCCATAGCTGATGAAATGTTATGTTTATATCAGTTTCGACGAATTCCGTTTGGTGTCACCAATGGAGTGGCCGCATTTCAACGTGCAATTAATAATATCATAAAATCAGAGCAATTAGAAGGAGTTTATGCTTATCTCGATGATATCACGATCTGTGGGATAAATCAGACTGATCACGATGAAAAACTTAAAAAAATTGAAGAGATTTCTACAAAATATAATCTTACATTAAACGTGACAAAAAGTGAATTTTCAAAGACTACTATAAATCTTCTCGGATACAACATATGTAACCGAGTGATTAAACCTGATCCGGAACGTTTACGCCCTCTCCTAGAACTACCAATTCCTACTGATTCTGTTTCTTTGCGACGAGCACTAGGTATGTTTGCGCACTATGCTAAATGGATTCCTAAATTCTCACACAAAATACAACCATTTGTCAATCATAATACATTTCCGCTTACGGAGGACGCTATAAAAGCATTTGAAGATTTTAAAATAGAGATAGCTAAATCTACATAGCTGCTATTGAAAGCGGCATACAAATGACTGTAGAAACTGACGCTTCAGATTACGCTATTGCAGCTACGTTATCTCAAGAAGATCGGCCAGTAGCTTTCTTTTCAAGAACACTTTCTGCTACCGAAAGGGCTCACCCTTCTATTGAAAAGGAGGCCTCGGCAATTGTAGAAAGTTTGAGAAAATGGAGACAATTACTAATAGGACGAACATTCAAACTGATTACAGATCAACGTTCTATATCATTCATGTTTAACCAGCAACATACATCAAAGATCAAAAATGAGAAGATACAGCATTGGCGTCTTGAATTAAGTAGTTACAACTTTGACATCATATGGGTCATTGTCAAATTTTGCGCAGGTAAACTAGTCCCTCGACCCTTTTTATTTATTAATTGTTAATAATGTCACAACCTCTAACAAAATTTACATGAAATTCAATATATATCGCATTAACATACATCCATTACAAAGTAAAAACATGGGTCATATTTTTTATAAGTTTTTTTAAAGTAACACATTGGTCATTTCTGGTAACAGAATGGTTTTTCTTCGAAACTCTACCTGTCCCAGACACAACTCCGATAGTAAAAATCAATATAACTTTATTTTCTGCTATATCAATCTACATAATTAAATATTTTAGCATAAATTGAGTATTTCGAATATTCATAAAATATATTTAAAAATTGGTTAGTATAAAAATGTAATTTATAAAAAAATCCTAAACTTTGTCCCACGTATTGCATGGAACTATCTGTACACCTATGTTATTAAGTAAATCACGATTCAAAGTAGAGATTGCGTTGCTTTCAACTATCTATTAGCTTGGGCAGAGTGTCGATATCTATTGTGGTTCTTCTCTAGATCGGGGGGAGGGTACATCACTTCTCAGTGGACCGCGAAGTGTTAAACGTGCTGCGTGTTTTTATTGTGCATCCACTGTGTTACGTACACCTATTCTCGTAAGTAAATCTTTATTTTTAATATTATACGTTTGGTATGTAGCCTAAGAAATAAATATTCTGAACGTGAAAGATATTTGATACATTACGCTTTATTTTATGACATATGTCTTACGGAATGTAAAATTTACTACTCTGTTACTATACAACTCTGTTACTAGCGCGTGCTAACAGAGTTGTTAAGAAAGTAACAGAGTTGAAAAATCCCATATTATTTCAACTTTGCTAAAATGTTATACATTAAATTTCATTTTTTTGAATAATCAATTTTCTGAGATAATGTGTAAACGTACTAACATACAAATAAAGTGTATCAACTATAATAATCCAAAAACATTGTTACAGGATACTGTGTCTGTTTGCACTTTTAATATGCCTCTCACGCCTGCTGGAAAGCAGCGACGATACCGGGAACGGCGTAAAAATAATCCCGAAAAGGAAGCAGAATCTAAAAGAAAGGACTTAGAGAGGTACCATGCAAACAAACGTTTAGTACGAGATTTAACAACACGTGAACATCGAGCAATAAAAAAGAAATGGCGATCTGCAAATGCTAAACGGAGAGATAAGGCTAGAACTCACATTGTTAGTATGCACACACCAGAGTCATCACCCTCTCGTTTAAATAGTCCAAGACCTAGTTATTTCAAGAGCTTTTCAGTATTTGTCTACACTCCAGCTGTCTACTTCCCGTGAAAACAATCCTAGCTCTACCACTTCCGCGGTTGTTCGCGGCAGAAAGCAAGTAAAGAAAAACAGGTCGAAGTTATTTAGAGATAACATGAAATTGAAGGATCAATTAGAGGCAGCAAATAAGAGATACGAAAAATATAAAAAACGATACAATAGAGAAAAACAAAAGAAATCTAAAAATGAAGATAGCAATAGAGAAAATCAACAGAAATATAATATATTATCAAATGCTATTAGAAAACGGTATGAAAACGTCAAAAATCGAAAGGAAAAATATGCTATCCAAAAAATATTTGAAGAGAAGACTATTAAATATTCTAGGCAGAAGATACAAATCCTACAAGAATGTCTTGCTGTCGACCAAGGATACATACGAAAAAAACAGCCCCTCTTTAAGAAAACCATTTTAAGTACCAAAATCAAGAATTTTTTCGATCGTGACGACGTATCAAGAGCGACTGCCGGAAAAAAGGAAACGGTATCTAAAAAAAAAGACAAAATGCAGAAGCGCTACTTACTCGACAATATGAAAAACCTTTATGTAGCTTTTAAACAAGAAAACCCTAATTTGAGATGTAGTTATAAAACTTTTACACGATACAGACCATTTTATGTTGTGTTTCCTACTGTTACTGCAAGAGAAACATGTTTGTGTCGAATACATACTAATATTCAATACATAGCATTTGCTTTGTATAAAAATAAAGTTATTCCAACCTCAGATCTTAAGAAGATTATTGTAAATCAAGTATGCAATCCAGATTCACCAGCATGTATGACAAGAATCTGTTTTGAATGTCAATCAAATGCCACTGTTTTTGATACGTCAAAAGACGAAATTATAGTAAAATATCCTCAATGGTTAAGTAAAATTCAAGTTATAGAGAAGTCAGGAAAGAAAATCAAAGTAACAAAAAACATTAAAGAAGAAATAAAGAGCACAGGAAAGGATTTGATAAATAAGTTTGAAATTACACTGAAGGAATTTAAAAGGCATATTTATTACATTAAAAGTCAGTACAGAAACTATAGAAAATGCATAGATGAGTTGGCTATAAATGAAATTGCACTGCACATTGACTTCAGTGAAAATTATAACTGTAAATATTTTGAAGAGGTACAATCTCACCATTTTGGCGGTAAAAGACGATACTACCAATTTGATACGCCTTTAGATATATTTGAAAAATAAGTAACTTCAACTTTTCAGTTACCCTCTCAAGGCAATCTCATTTTTATTTTTATAAAGTTCATTCTGGATTTGTTAATTCGATTCATTTAATTATTATTAATAACAAAGTTTATTATTTATGTTGTGTAAGATCTTAAACTACGTGCAATTTCTCTATATTAGGTACAAAAAAGAACAACTATGTTAATGTGTTACAACTCTGTTACTTTCTTGTCCCAAACATTAAAGAACTAATCAAAGATTTTTAGGAAAAGCTAGTTAATGTAATATATCAATATCACAAAACGGTAATGTATCTGATACGTATACGCTAATGTGTTACAGTTATCTCTTAATGTATGTATATTTGGAGGATTTAGGTAGAATTTAAGGTCTGTCAATATTCAAGAAGTAACAGAATTGTTTAAGAGTTTAAATTTATGATTGTTAAACAAAATAGAAATGTTTTGATTCTAAATGTGATTATAAGGTATAAGACTGTAATTAATATTAATGCCAAAATATTTGCGGCTGATTTATTAAATTATACAATAAAACGTAAAGCGTACTATAGTGTTCACTTATTTGTTATTTATGTCTTCTTGTATGTAAGTTGTTATCGACGTAATATCGGCTCGTTAGCCATAGCTCCACGTCTTTACTCCGCGGCGCTTGCGCAGGGAATCCCTTCCCTCTTGCGCACGGCGGTTCGTGTACGCTCGGCTCGAGACGATAGATAATAAACTGCTAGTGTTTCCACATACACTACATCTCTCTCCTTTTTAAGTTTATTTTCTTTTCAAGCATGAATCAATCCACTCTATTAGGTATTTGTTCCTTGGAGGCATGTGTGCTACGTTACAACGATGGTGGACTCATTTTGACACTATACTGCCACACATAAGCCGAATGCCTCTAGTGCGATTGGCCTTTCCATCGTAACCAGCACCGTGATTTTTCCTCCTCTTTTGAATATAAATTACATTTATATATTAACTCCAATTTACTCTGTGTTTCACATACTTCACCTTTCTTCTTTTATATTTGTTTTCATATAATCGTTATTCCACTTTGTTATTGTGTAATATTATGTAAGATTTGTATAAAGCACTTCTGAAAAAATGTTGTATGTTTATGACCAGAATATCTCTATCATAGTAGTCACTACTTTATATTTTGTAGGTTTAAGGTAAATACTTATATTTTTTTCCATTCTATCTGTCTCATGCAATGTGTTATTTACATGTAGTATTTTTCTTTATCATGTACATTTGAAAACTGATTACTAAAACATAATCTGGAATTTCTTCAAAACTATTTATTATTGTCATTCCATAAAATATTGATGGGTCCTGTGGTGGTATACCAGAATACTATTATTATATCAAGAGTTGCATCAACAATTGCAAACGACTTTCCACTATATTCTGTCTACACATCTGAAATCAGTCCATGTAGTATTAATTGGGTATAACTATAACCATTCTTCATCGTACCAAAATTATCTCTCTTATCACCTGTATTAATTCAGTGCTAAAATATTAGGAAAGGTTGTCAGACTTGTCTTTGAGCGATCGACATATACCACATATATCACCACAGCGACTCTACGTACTCCAGCAATCGTCAATTATATTAGTTATAGAAATTATATTTTCGACCAGAATTAATTTGTGTCCTATGGACTTTTGATTTATTATATTTTACTGAATCCGCTCCATTTCACTCCGATAATTAATATGCATTAAAACTGGCAATTTTTTATTACTTATATTCAACCGCAATTTAATGTAACATTCTTTCAATTTACCTTTAATGAATAGGACACCATTCATCAATACACAATACAATGTTTGATTACCCCGCCAAAGACAATTTAACACAAACTGGACGTTAATACGCAATTTAATGCTTAACGACCCAGCCAACGCAATTTAATGCAACCTGTCCGCCAATACGCAATTTAATGCTTGACGGCCCAGTCCAACGCAATTTAATGCAATCTGTCCATCAGTTCGCAATTTAATGCCTGATGGCCCAGCCAACGCAATTTAATGCAATCTGTCCATCAGTTCGCAATTTAATGCCTGATGGCCCAGCCAACGCAATTTAATGCAATCTGTCCATCAGTTCGCAATTTAATGCCTGATGGCCCAGCCAACGCAATTTAATGCAATCTGTCCATCAGTTCGCAATTTAATGCCTGATGGCCCAGCCAACGCAATTTAATGCAACCTGTCCGTCAATACGCAATTTAATGCTTGACGGCCCAGTCTACCTTACCTCTGTAGCTCCTTTTTTAGAATATCAATGCCATTGTCACCGTCATTATAACTCCATTGAACTTCTTAATTCATCCTCTTTAAGTATTGGTTATTAGTATTATGCTCATTGTTTTTCTTCCTTTGTTAATTTCTTTAAGGTCATCTGAGCCAATAGTCACTTTATAAGCAAATCATGAACTCCTGCAAAACACCAAATTTTATAATTATAGCATAATTAAATGCCACTCTTATCCATTTAATTTTCACAATATATACATTTATGACTACTAATATTAAACATATTTCAGATTTATTTACTCCACAAGAATGTCCAGTAAATAATTCTAATCTAAAGTATAGGAATACTAATAGTATCCTCAGAACTATTTTTTCCAATAATGTATCGTTAGTAATTGTTACTATCATGCATCATGGTTTACATTATTATCTAGTAATAATAATAATAATTGTGCAGTCATAATATAACGCACGTCATTCACAATAATATACCTCGTATATAACGACTTCCTTGATTTAAGTAATTCTTTGTAATCCCTTGAATTTTCCATAAGAATCGATGTAAAATATACCTTTACATTGCGACATTATTATTATTTTTTTTTTTAATTTGGAAAAACACCTCTTTCTAAGGAATTTTCTTAACCCAAAACCTTTATATAATGTTCCCACCAATGGTATGACTCTAACTCTACTTATCTCTTATCTCATAAAATGTGATTCATGTCAGGACATGTTTCGACGTACTTTTGTTCGTAGAACAATAATTGTTGTTCGATGGAAAGTAATGTAAAGTTTTGTAAACACTGCTGCTCGTCACTATTGTTAAAGATTCAAGTTGAAATGGCTTAGACAGGTTTTTTACCTTTTTATAACGAAGTTTAGACCAACGTACCTTCAACATAATAAATCTCAGTTCAACGAATTACTTGATATACTACATATATTTTTTTTTTCGATTTGTTTTATCGAGGTTGCACTGTAGTACGTATGTAAAAGTTAAAACACGCTAATTTGTCTAAGCTACCCTGCAATGCGGCCAAAGTATTTAGAGAGCGACCAACACCAGTACTATGACGATAAACAAATACATGTATATATTTTACAACTACTACAATGAAGCAGGTATCATTTCCTATTAGCTATCTCAAAACTCAAAACCACATTAATACACTTATTTCGCGTATCGCGACACTACACAACTCCAGCCGCAACTGGATTAACTGTCAATTAAAAATGACTCCCCATCGCTCCAACATCCCCGTCACATTCATATAAAACAGCTGTCAGCACTGTCTGCATGTGATCACAAAACAAATTCTAACTCCATTCCACAGCTACTAAATGCGGTACATTAATGCAATTATGGCTATTATTCCTATTATTTATTCAAGCTTCTTTAAATAATGAATATTCATATTCTATTCCATGTTCCCGAAACTTCAAAGAATATAAAAAACATTTTTTTTTTTCCACTCTAATAACCCCTTTACTCATCCGCATAATGCATTAGGCGAGTAGGTACAATAATTCAGAACTTAATAGTAGTTCTATTTCATCTAACCATTATTGTGCAATTTCTAATTTACTGGTATTTTTAAATTAGAGAGAATCTTAAATATGATTCCATAAAGACATACTCACCACCACTGTACTATACTATAGCTTATTATTAAAAGTTAATCACTGTCATTGCTGTAAAAATAATAGAATAATTCTATATACATAATTAGGTATCCTTTTTCTCGTTACAGTGTTACTGACTATAGAAACCACACACCGCATACAGAAACAGCACTCCTGTGCCTTACATCCGACCATAACTAGCGACACACTTCCTCGCAATATAATAGTCGGCATCTCAACCTCTTGACTACGTTGTTTTTTGTTTTTCTTCAACAAATTCATTATACACTAAATTCACCAAACCAAAAGATTGCCTTCTAGGTCGCAAGTGTAGATGCGCGCTTCATTTTAACACAAAGCACAAATTGTTAAAAATATGCCAGACAAGTAGATAGGCACCTTGCACTACACAACATGTATAGTAGACCCCAACATAATATATCAAACTAATAATTAATCTACATTTAAAACTTTCCTATGCAAAACAATTGCAATTCCCACCGGCATCCATTGGAATGCTCACTAATAATTATTATTTATAAATTATATAATCCAAAAGCCAAATCCAATCCAAATAAAAACATTTTAACCACACTACTTCGCGGCTCTGCTCGAATACCAGAATAAAATAGTCTGTAGGTATTCCGAACAACTCATCTGCATCGAAATGTATGGGACACTGTTACCCATACTTCAACACTTGCAATCAATTAAGGCAAATATAAATATTGTCCACCAAGCACTGCTCAAACCGTGTGTGTCACCCCACCTTAGATTTTACTATTGTTGTTTTGTATATAATACCCAACATCAGTACTACATATAATGCAGGTACAATTGTCAGCTCACCATCATTTGTAATAATATCGTATCACCCGACAACATCGTAATATTATCCCGTACAAAATGTAATATTAGATTATCATGTGATCATTACAGTTAGAAAGAGGAACTTTAGACCACTTCCATTTGCAGCAATACTCTAAAAGAAAATAGTGACATTTGAACACTAGTCACCACCTCTGTATAAATACAATAAGGCGGCCCTATTGCCAAAAGTAATTAAAGTGCATCGACACCTAGAAAAGATAAAGCAAAACAAACGTGTCGTCCGCACAGTGCTCTATTATACTTCATACCCACAGGTCTATTGCATCACGTAATATGATGTCGCACTAAACATCTCACCGTCACCGTCCCCTCATGAAACGAACATGCAGCGGCAACTACAATCATTACCGATTTTTTATTTCAACACGGAAATACGGAAGGGGGAATGGGATTGTTAAAATAATCCCACTGCTAACAATGTATCACGCCAGAGGGACCTCCACGCGGCTCCCCCCAGAAACCATCGCGATAAATTAACACGAACCCACCACGACGGGCCAACCGATCCTATCCCCCCCGCTCATTCCACCATACTCCATCAGTGCCACGCCAGCGCAGGTAGTACACCATTATCATACATTAAAAATAATAAATCACGGATATACGTAAACATATTACTACAATGATTATTAATACGACTATTCCTACCAGCTAGAGACACTATAGGTATAGCAAGTACAATTTATAATTAGGTATCTACTCACTTGGCGCAAATCGATCGTAAACCGATGTTACCCAGCTATTGTTTTTTCTGTATAGGTCTATATAATTCGCTCCCCGTGCGGCCCCACCATAATCCTTCTAAATTTGTAATTACTCCGTACCCGTAGGTATATGTATATCTTATTAAATGATTTTGTACTTATCTTTATTTATATCCATTTTGCCTCGTCGCCACATATAGTGTTCACTTATTTGTTATTTATGTCTTCTTGTATGTAAGTTGTTATCGACGTAATATCGGCTCGTTAGCCATAGCTCCACGCCTTTACTCCGCGGCGCTTGCGCAGGGAATCCCTTCCCTCTTGCGCACGGCGGTTCGTGTACGCTCGGCTCGAGACGATAGATAATAAACTGCTAGTGTTTCCACATACACTACACATACTGATAACAAAGTTGTATTTATTTACACCCTGACCAGCGAAATCTGGAATAAATCTTAAATTTTTAATTAAACATCGCGGACGACGATTATATAACGTAATTCAATTGTTTTAACAGGCACGGACAATACTAAAAGCAAGGTTAAAATACATTTATATTTTTATGTTTTTGTAATTTTGAGTTACGTTTACCTGCGCAAAATTTGACAATGACCCATATATCGACCGGGAAGAGAAAATGTCGTGGCCGACGCATTGTCACGAGCAAATACTGTCATAGCTTCGACGTCGAGAAATTCATTAATGGATTTACATAACAGTCTTTGTCACCCGGGTATTACACAGATGGTACATTGGGTAAGAACTAAAAATTTGCCCTTTTCTGTTGAAGAAATCAAACGCATAAATACATTATGTCCCGTATGTGCTGAAATTAAACCTAGATTCATAAAATCTTCTGGGACTTTAATAAAGGCTACTACACCATTTCAGCGAATTTCAATGGACTTTAAGGGGCCTCTTCCAAGTAGAACTCAAAATAAGTATATTCTAACTGTAGTAGAAGAATATTCTCGTTTCCCATTTGCCTTTCCATGTCCAGATTTAACAGCTGAAACCGTTAAAAGAAAATTAACTCAATTATTTGCAATCTTTGGAGTACCCACCTTTGTGCATTCTGATCGAGGAACATCCTTTGTCTCATCAGAATTAAAGGAATTTTTATGTAGCTTAGGAGTAGCTACAAGTTATTCATCACCTTATAATCCTCAAGGAAATGGCCAAACAGAGCGTTATAATGGGATTATTTGGAAAACTATTCAACTATCACTTATGTCTCTTAAGCTACCTATAAGTGCTTGGGAGTCAGTTATTACTCAGACATTACATTGCATTCGTTCATTATTATGCACCAGTACTGAGTGCACACCCCACGAGAGAATGTTTTCTCATCCACGAAGGTCATCCAATGACCAATCAATGCCAACATGGCTAACGGAAGGAAGTACAGTGTTCATGAAAAATCTTGTGAGGAAGAGTAAGTACGATCCGTTTGCAGAAGAAGTAGAGGTACTTAATGTAAACCCACATTATTCTCAAGTGCGTTTGCAGAATGGTCGAGAAACTACAATTTCAAATAGGTACTTGGCTCCAGCTAATCCTCCTTTGTTAAATGAACCTGTAAGAGAACAGAACCCGAACGCAGAAACTGAATCAATTAATGCTGATCAATCTACTGCTGACCAATTTCTAACAGACCAATCTCCCGCAGAAGAATCTCCTACTAATCAATCTCTTACAGATCAATTTCCTGCACTTCCATCCCCTGCTGAGGCAAATATATCTTCACGTCGTTCCACCAGGCTACGTCGCCCACCTAATCGGTTCCAAGATTATCAAACAGATTTCTAAGGCACGGGTGAATGTCGTGAAGCCATTAAATATAAGAAGAAGATTTTAGTTACATTTTATCTGTCAAATAGTCGTGTACAATTTTTAGTTTATTAAAGCCTAATAATGGGTAAATCTAGTTTTAATTAATAATTCAATACTATATTCATATCAATATCAATTAATATTAATATTTAACAACAAAATTTATATTTGTTTTTGTATATTATAATCAGACCACAGTATTGTAATGGTACCTAAATGAATTTATTTAGTCCAATTCCACTATTATAATACTATTATCGCTGAATATTTGTTAAAACATTTGTGTTGTCTAACGCTTTATGCTTTTCATTAAAAGCATGCATGTGTGCTATTGATAAAAATCCATAAATAAAGATAGTCTCTGATCAGTTATATTTATTTACCTGGCAAGACTGAAATCATATGACAGTCAGCTACTTATTTTCCGAGAAAATGGCTGTGAATATGATTGTTTTTTGGTTTTCTTTTGTTTTAACTATTATTGGTGAGACTTATTACTTATTTATGTATTTTTGCTATTTAAGTGATCATATTAATTAATGTATATGTTTGAAATTTTAGGTAGCAATGCTGCTGGGGAATTTAGTGTCCTTCACAGTCCCAAATCCATAAAATTTTCGGGATCTAGTAAGACTTTGGAGAGTCTTTTGAAGGAAATTTTCTCAGCTTCTCTTGGTTTGTCTGTAGAAGAGGTAAGTGGAAGCTAGTTATATAACTTTTATATATTATTTTTTTAACTGCGGTATAAATTTGAACACCACCTTCCAGAGCTCAGAATGGAGTGGTCTTTCTATTGTGGATCCATTTAACACTCCTGAAGCAGTTGTAGAAGTCTATATAGATGGTGTTTCTACACTTGGAAAAACTGTAAGTATTAATTATAATATTAATATGTATTCTCCCTTCAGTTTATGGAGATTTTCTCATTAAATCTAAGCCGATAGAAATATGTATGTATATTTTTATTACACAAGTATTATACTATGGAATGAATAAAGATATGTCAACAAATTTGTAAAAGAGAACTTATCTAGCTAATTAGCACTGAAATTTAGCATGATTCACAAGACATTTAGTACTATTATATATATATATATACTGGGCTAGTCTCAGAGAAAATTCCAAACTGAGAAAATGAACTTCTGAAAATAATATTTGAAGTTTTCATATAAAATTGATCATGTGACTGTAATTTGTAGGCAGGTTATGGAATGTATTATCTTGTTTATTTAAAAAGTTGAGTTTCATGAATACTAACCCTGGATTACCCTTAACAATTACTCTATGTAACTGTGACTAATCAAGTTTATTTTTAGGCGGGGCTTAAGACCCAAGACTTTCCACTAACTGTTGATGAGTATGAACCTGATACCTATAAGGCTGTCAAGCATAGAATTGAGCAACGCTTCACCAATGGTGGCAACAAACTTGTGCAAATCAACTTGTCGGAAGTTAATGAGGTAATAATATATTTATTAATCTATTTTTATTGATTCAATTGTCAGAATGTAAAGAACATAATAAAACAATACCTTGAACAGGTGAAAGAAAAGTAGAGAGAAATGCAGGAGACCTTTACCCAACAGTGGGATAATATAGGTAAATAATAAATATATTCTTTAATTTACAGCTCAATTTGTATCCCGATGTGTTTGGTGAGATCATACCACCAAAGGTGACAAAACAATCACTGCAACACTTGAAGTACACAGTTGAAGAAGATTACCAATTCTTGTCTGAATTAGAAGCGTTGAAAGCTCTGACTAGCAAGGTAAATAATGATTTCAAAGATTTGCATTTGATATTCACATTTAAAGTTACTACTTTATACAACAGTCTCTTTTAAGAGATTTAACATGCTAATATATTTTAGAATTATATTAATCACAACATTACGTTTTCAGGTTAAAAGTATTACAGCAGACAACATCATTGACTTCTATAATTTTAGATTCCGATCACTTCATGCATTATCTGATTTCCATGGCCCTAATTCACTTCAAACTAAGGAAGCTAAAAAACTTTTGGGTGAGTTATAAATATAATTGTAATGCATTTGTAAAAAACTGACAGTAAACTATTATTAATTTTATATAGAGTTTGATGAGAGGAACATGGAAACATTTGGTTATGTAAAATGGATGTTCTATGAAGGGTTATATGATGGTGATGAAAGTAGGATGCTTATTTAGTTTCATAGAATCTCTGGAGAATAGATAGACAGATTTTGCATGTCTAATAATTAAAAAAAAGGCAGGATGATGATTATATTATACACTGATATTAAAAATTCTTATATCTGTAATAAAATCTAATTAATTATATACACAGGAGAGGCACTGCAAGAACTAAGTGATGCTTTTGAAAAAGCCTATGATGGTTCAGTACTAGTGACTGCAGTGTCCACTGATGTTGCACACACTCGACGTGCAGTCAGATCTGTACCTGAAGAAAAGCAGGTATGTATTAAACAAACAACATTATTTTTATTATATTGATTATGTTACTCCACTTCATGAAAAATGGTATTGGCTGCTTATAACTGGCAAGGCATTATAAACTGTATGGTGATACATTTAAAATTGTTTTATTGTATTAAATTATTGAAGACCGCTGTAGTGGAGGAGTCAGCAAATTTGATTTTGCACATATTTTACTTAATAGAATTCCCTATGCTGATTTATATCAAATATGAAAGAATAATAAGCATTCTTCTTTCATGATGGCTAGTGTTGAGAAAACTCTTTTGATATTAATATATTTAAAGGTTTTTTCTATTCCTTATACCTTCACTATCTACCATCTTAACATTAAAATAAATTTTTCAGTCATAAATAGTTTTATTACATATTTATACAGCAGCTAGACATATATTTAGATAAATAAAACTAAATTTTAATAGAATTGATAAAAATGTAAGTAGAAATCATCTGTAAATATTAATTATATCAAAATTAATGACATATTGTATGAATTATGATTTCTAGGTCTGGTACTAGCAATGTATGTTTCTTGCTAAGTGTTGTTTTCGAATCAGACTATATCTTAGGTGTTTATATTTTCAGGCTACACCATACGTAGATGATGGATACAGTGCTGATTATGCTGCCATTTTCAACATTATCTTGTGGTTTGGAGTGGTGTTTGCCTTTACCTTGGTAGCAATTGTATATGCCATCATGGATATGGACCCTGGCAGAGACTCCATCATCTATCGTATGACAAACACCAGAATGAAGAAGGATAATTAAATGGTTAACCATTTTGATCTTGAAAAATGTTTGGAATGTCTTTTCCAAACATCCAGTCTTGTTGTTAGACTAGTAATTTCACACAAGTACATTAAGAATCTAGACTATACTTACTGTTTTTAAATTATCAATGTGTAGTGACTAGATTCGACTAAATATCCAGGTATAGCAATTTAATGAGTACTTAGTGTTTAAGAATGTTTTAACTTGTTGCTAATGTGAGTAAATCATTATTTATTTCTATAGTTTGTATATAAATAACCTCTGCAACATTTCCAATCACAAATGAATATAATATATCTTTAGGATGAATTCAGTATTGAAATATTGATATAAGCCTAAATCATGTTAATGCCCTAACTTCTACTAGACTATTCTAGTCTTAGAAGGCTTTATAGTCTTACAATACATAAGAATGTTATAATTGTTATTTTCTTAAGCTTATTGAATAAATACATACCATTCACATTACTCCATGATTTTTCATTCTAAAATCCCAAAAAGATATTGTAAGTTGTCAATAAAACAAGTTCTGTGTAGTAAAAACTATATTAATATTCAGGCACCGTTAAATCATTAATACATATTGTTTTAAATCTAGACTATGATATTAGTAAATAACAGTACAAAACTCGATTTTTTTTATACTATTTTTATTTTGTATAGCTCACCACATTTAATATTTTTTGTAACAAAGTTTCAAACTCCACCTGTTTTGAAACTATCAATAACTAAATAGTTATAAAATATTATTTTTATATTTTAATAAAATTTCTAAAAGAAGTAATGTATATAAGTGGTGGATATAAAACTCAATGTTAAGATCATATAATATAGACATGAGATTAAAACCAAATTCAGTTATTAGCTAGAAACTGCCTATTATAATTATAATAACTAATAATTTTAAATTAGTTTCGTAATTTGGTGTAGGTATTTTATTTAATTCATAGCAAACTGTAGTTTTTTTTCATAATGTATACAAATAACAAAAATTGAATTTCACTTCAAATAATTTCAAATTAACTTTTCACTAAATGCAAGTGAAAGTATATATTTAACATTTATTTTGAATTAACCAAGGTTCTAAAAAGTAGTAAGTACTAACAAAAAAAATGTTTTATTTATTCTCTATCTTTACTTACATCTAATTTAAACATAATATTGAGTATATAATATTAGAAAAATTATTATAACAATTTATAAATATAAGTCAATTAATTTTATTAGGCACTTTAAATAGTAAATCTGTTTCCTATCCGGTATAGGGTATAAGCAACTCAGGATCAATATATGATTTAAAATACAGTTGTCTCAATTAGTATTGTTTCTATTATTTGATAGAATCTTTTCAAATTAATTGTATCATCAAATGTTTTAGTTAACGACTAATCCTGTGTAGAAAATTGGCTTCACATTTATTGTGCATAGTATTACGTGTTTTTTTTTTGCTCTGAGTTTTCGCTGAAGTTTTAACGGCGAGTGGTGTATTGATGTGCGCGTCGCAAGCGACGCCGTAGTTCAGAGGGGAAGCGTTCATAGCAGCGGCGACACGCGGGCCGCTCGTCATACTCGTAGAACTTGCTCTTGGTACTGAGCGGCGCGTCGCACACTGAACACGCGAAGTGGTGCACGCACCACGCCTTATTCAGCGCTGTAAACACTGCAACCGTATCGCATTATTTATACCAGCCCTTCATTTCTATTATTAATAATTTAAAACATTACTTTCATTTTATTGTATTACAACCTAAGAACAGAGGTAGACAACGTCGAAAAAATGGCAGTAGGAGTTTGTTGTAGCAATATGGTTATTAGTCCACATTACTGGACTATTAACACCATTGTTAGCAATATACCATATCAGATTGGCTTCAAGATGGTTCCCCCTGGAAATCATTGTGATAAATTCATGGTAAAATCACGAATGACCAATTGACCTGAAATGATCTTATCCTGCTTCACTGGTGCTCCGTCAGCGTAAACCGTAGCGTAGGCGGCTGCGCCATTCCATTATCATCGAAAGAAGAAAAAACGTCGAAACACTACTTACGTTACGTTAAATACATACGTGTACGTAACATTGTTTCTTTTGAACAGACCTATACGACTATACGATAGTCCTCCAGACTAGCAACGCATGAGGAGCATTACATCAGAACGTGATATCATAAAATGATTACTAACAACACCCTTTCATTGCCTGAATGTGATACCCCTAAGGTAGAGTGTACAAAGTTGTTCGTGTACCTCAAATTAATAACCTAAATTTGTGTTCTGTGTTCAGTTGGAGGGTGAAATTACAAAGAGTACTGAATGGTGCTTATTATTAGGTAGGCGATTGGCCTAATTGGGAGTTACATAAAAAAAAAGTAATTTAGACCTGTGGAACTAAATTATGGGAATCCGTAATTTGAAAAATGATGCTGCTATTTGCAACTATGCTTATCTGTCTGAAGTAGCTAATTACTATGTTCTATAAATTTCATGTGTCAAATATCTAGATTTGACTTATCTAATTTATCAATTTCTGCAAAATTACTGTACCATCATCTAGAAAAATATTACTGCTACCTAAAATCAGTATTTTATCCTTACCGTCGCCGGCAATAACTTGATTGCACACATAGCATAAATTGCCAAAGAGTTGATGGTAATGTTGTTCGCAATAAGCCAGCCCCTTTTTCTCGTAATGGCGATGACCATGGAATGGTTTCTCACATTTTGCGCATACAAAGTGCTGAAAAGTAATAATGTTTATACAGACTACACTGTGTATTATGTATCGCTAAAACGATTTATATTTAATGGATACACAATATAATAAAAAAACAAGTTGTCTCGTTTGATTAATAAGATTTTCATTTAATTTTTTTCGTATCATGATCAACGAAATCATAGTAAGATCCTAATATTGGGTGTGGATTTCTCTCAATATGGAGATATCAACGAATGCTACGCTTATCATAGCTTGGTAAATGATAATTTCTAAAATTTCCTAAAAGTATAGGGCAAGATTATTTTATAGGACAATTGAAATTTTCATGTTTTATAGAATTGTTTTTATTTCAAATATGACGCGGTTATAATTTATATTTAAAATTAATAAGAATCCGGGATATTTTAATTCGAGTTCCCGGTATTTCGGTGTCACAACAGCCATGATCATAGGCAAGTTTGCTTGTGGACTAATAAAACGATGTTTCCTAAAAGTTCCCAAAAAAGTTCCTGTGGTTTTCCTAATGTTACAAAATAAATAATGTGCGACTTAATTACTAAATTAAATACATATATATATGTTAACTCACCTCAACGTGCCAGTGTTTGCCAAGAGCCGTCACGATTCGTTCTTCAATTGGGCGACGACAAGCACCGCAAATAGGAATACCCATTTTATCATGACACCGCAAACAGAAAAGGTTATTCTAAAATAAAAAGTCTAAATTAATAACATACCAGATTTTAATTTTTTTCTAAATAAAACTACGTGTTGTTTACCTAGTAAAGATAAAAGTAAACGTAGTAATAGATATTAAAGGTGTACATAGATATATAATGACTAAATAATAATAACAATTCAATGACTTACCACGTCATTGGCAGCATATCCAGAGCGGTGTTTAACCTCACGAGCAGTGTGATCTAGTTCCACACCGCAAGTAGCACAGTTGAAATGGTAGCCGTGGTAAACCTCGCCACGGTAACGAAGAGGCTCTCCGTCAATTACGCCACTGATAAGAAAATATATATTTATGAATCATGCTATAAAGGATTTCTATATTCGGATTGGGAAGTAAATCTAATAGATGATGATGATGTAATGACGTTTCATAATTGAACATGTAATCATTTGTGAACATCTGTTTTAATTATGAGGTTACTAAATATTATATAACTATTGGGCGGCCGCTGTTTAGAGCTCTGCCCTACATGCGATGGTCGTGAGTTCGATACCTCGCAAAAGAACAAACATTTGTATTCTTGAGTATGATTGTTTGTACAGGTCTGGGTGTTTTCTATATATATTATGTATGTATATACAAAATAAAACGTATTTGGGTATATAAAAGTAGTATAGTAACCATAACATGCTTGACTTAGGACTAGATGGCACTGTATGAATCGTCCAAGGATATTATTACTCGTATTATTATTGAAAAATTATTACTAACAATATCTTTTGCTATTGATTGCAATGACAATAGTCGCTTTTCCCGCCAATATAATTATAATATTTGGTAGGATTCATATTCATAAAAATGGAATAAAACTACTTACTGACACTTATGGCACATATAGTTTTGATAACCATCTTCTTTAATACGAGCATTGCACGTGTGACAAAGCGCCCGACCTGCATGCTTTATAAACCCAGCATCAGCCAGCTCCACATTACACTCTTCACAACGGAAGCAAGCTGGATGCCAGTTGGCATTCATGGCCTTTATGACACGGCCAATAATAAATTCTCCTGTGGAACAAGTACATTTTATTTAAAGCATCTGAAATATGCCTAAATGTACAAATATAATTTTTTTTTTATTCATCTTCCCCTGCCTATCTTGTCACAGGTTGTCACATATATAATGTGATATATGTAATTAAATGGTCCGCGACTTACACTAAGCCGGTTTCAAATTCGCCAACAAACAAATTTAAAAAATGCCTATCACATAAATTTGTAATTTTTTTGAAGGTTTGTGTTTTACTTCTAATCGTGTGCTTTAACACTTAAATTTTGAAATATGATGGCACAGATAACATAATATTACATACAGATACCCCATCCCATACAAGAAAATGGTTCCTTCCTAACTCGGGCTATTCTCGGGCTATTTTATTTCGCCGCCGTATATATCTATCTGAATTAGTAACAAAGCACGAAAATAGATGGCAGTCAATTTCTACATGACATCTATTTTGCAAAGATAGGTATATAATAGATATATATACCTCATTAGGGACGATTCAAGATTCAATGTATATGTGTAGGTATAATATCGTTAGCCGACACCCTGCAGATATGGCTTATGTGCCAATGTATATATTATGTTATAGTTTATTCTACATTCCATGCCTATTTTTTTCTCTCGACGAAGATATTTTGTAACGCGTCTGCGCTATACGTATAGCCCGATTTTGATACGTTTATACTCGTACGTATCAAAATCGGGCTATATGATTTTTTATTTCAATCGTTATGTGTAAGAGACAGGTTTTAGCTACAATGAATTTACTGGTATACCTATACCTCCTGTATTCTACGATGTACCCCTCTTTTCCCTAATGAGAATTCCGCTATATCTTATATATAAATTTCGTATCACAGTGTTAGTTGCCATATTTCTCCTACATTTTGATGAAATTTGATATGTATTCTTGTTAGGTCTGAGGTAGGGTTGTTATCTATTTTTTTTTATAGTCCCCTAAGTCATAGGGGTAAGGCCTACCCTGAAATTTTTTTTTTTTTTTTGTATTATGGACAATTTTTTATTTATTTATAATGTTACATACACGCCTAAATTTTGGCCCGTCTTTCACCAACCCCTATTTTTAATAGCGATATTCTTACAAATATTATAAATGCTAAAGTAACTCTGTCTGTTTGTCTCGCTTTCACGCCAAAACTACAGAACTTATTTAATTGAAATTTGGTACACAGTTAATGTAGACCGTGAGAAAGGCTACTTTTTAATGCGAAAAAGGGTTGAAAGGGGAAATGAAAGGCTATATGAAAATATCGTCATTTTTAAAGTCAGATCTTGTAAGCTAAAGCTTTAATTTATAATCTTATAATTTAATTAAAAATATTTTTAGGCTGCTGACTAAATATAAATAAATATGACATTCTAAGCATGTAAAATGTTATCCTTAAGAGGGTAAAATGAAATATAAGATGAAAGTTGAAGATGATGAAAAAATTCGTCATTTTCAAAACTAGTACGATGAAACTTTTTTCTTTGGATTTTTCGAGTTACATTATTAAATATTTATTATTTATTTGATAAAGGTCACTATTCCACACGGACGACGTCGCGGGTGCAGCTAGTTAATTTATAAAGCAAAACAAGGTTTGCCGGGTCAGTTAATTTATATCTATAATGAAATGAAATTCGGTTTCAAAAGAAGGAATATTAATTAAGCTAAATAGCTTAAAACTTCAATCCTAGATGAAGTGAACAGGGTCGGTCTAGGTTTTTCATTACTATTATAGAAATGTGTAACGGGGGAACACGTTACTTAGTACGAAATTGTGTATATTACAATAAAACTTAACGAGAAAATATTATAATGATGTCACTGGAACACTCATTGCTTTACTACTATACCGTCAATTAGTCGGGAACTTTCTGTATGCGCGAGAGGCGCGCTTATTGGTCGGTCGGTGTGGTTACCGCACGACGCGCATGCGCTGTACGCTTAGATGAGTCTCACGGCGCGGGCGTAAGTACTTACTATGTAATATGTATACATATGGGTGTCACAAATGTTTTTATTACAAGTAATATTACTCCATTATCTAAGCCAGTAATGTGTGCTTATTTTGAACTTGATAACATTCAGAATTACTTGTATACATAACTTTCGATATCTACAATAATAATATAATATCTTTGAAATGTATGAAAGAAATGTATGTACCTACATTAAAAGATAATTTTTGACCTGTATGAAATGTATGAAAGAAATGTATGTACCTACATTAAAAGATAATTTTTGACATGTATGAAATGTATGAAAGAAAAGTATGTACCTACATTAAAAGATAATTTTTGACATGTATGAAATGTATGTACCTATATTAAAATATAATTTTTGAAATGTATGAGATGTATGAAAGAAATGTATGTACCTACATAAAAAGTTCATGTATGTACCTAATATAATTTTTTTATGAAATGTATGTACATTAAAATATAATTTTTGAAATGTATCACCGTACAATAACAATACACGTTAAACATCATACCACAGAGTCATACGCAAGTTAAAAACAAACTGCTATGATATTAACGAGAAAGGAAAATCAACTTTATGGTATTCGAGTTAGGGTCGATTTCTCTCTTTTTTTTAAATACTATTTTAATCTTACCAGTTGCCAGTATTCGAAGACAGCTACGATTCGTACTCGATATTTTAAATTATTATGTAATCGATTTTTCAGTACAAATGTAAATAACCAACGACACTAATAATGTACTACTATATTCCGTTCTTTGAAACGGAACACTGCTATAATACAAAATAATGAAAATTTACTGTTCACAACGTTCATTAAAAGCATCATCGAATAATGCGCTGAAATAAAATCCTGTTATCGATTATTAAAAAAAAACGATAATACATGTATTTATTTTTAATATGACAACACTTCATACATAAGTATTATTGGAAATAGTATTACTTGCTTGTTCGGCTATTTTTAATTTACTTAAACTTTTTTTATATGTTTAATTTACAATAATAATATATTAAGTGCTTATTATTGGAAAATATAAAAAAGACATTTAATTAGACCGATACAAATGACAACAATGCCATCTATGAAAGCATTTTGAAAACATTGAGCCCCGTATTAGCACTGATTAAAGTGTAATTAAGTACTGGAAAATAACAAAATGAGTAAATATATGAAAATTACTTTTCTAAACGCATTATTTCATTTTAACATGTATATATAACTTTTTAAAAATTGATTAAACATTTTTGAAAACACAGTTTTGTTTTTTAAAACGTTTGCAAAACTATGAAGAATTCCATCGATACCAATCACGCCATCTATATGCAACTTTTAGCAATAATAATGGCTACTTCCTCACGGAGTGCCACTGATGATGGCATGAAATGTATCCTCCCTACTCCTTGTTACACTTTGTCGATTCCCTCTTCTACTTTAACATGAAGTCATTTTTAGATGGACTCCAATTAAAAAAAAATCTATTATATTTCATAAATCACTATACACTCTTTAAAATTGAATGAGCTTCTTTAAAACAGAATATATGATGCTTACCGCATTTCCCGCAGCAGGGAGCAAATAACACCTGAAAGTCACGCTCACAATACTTGCGTCCTTCGAACTCATAGAATATTCCTTCAGGAAACACGCGGAAGCATTGAGCACATCTAGAAGAATAATAGACCACATAAATATGTTGATAATAAAAAACATGATTATGTAGCACTATTGCCATTGCTAATAATACACATCAGTTTGTATCTGCAAGTGCTTATTTATTTATTCATTTATTTCAGATATGTATCCATATTATGTTAGTAAACAACTTATAAACTATGTTAGTAAATTACACTTTTATTCATTTAATTAATATATTTACACACATCCACAACCACTGGGTCCATAACAGTGCAGCGATGTCCAGAGTCTCTGGAGCGGACAATCTGACATATTTGATATGGTTTGTTTTGATTGATATGCTTATAGTTTATATATAAAATTAGATACATTGTTTTGCAAGTGTAAGTTTGTTTAATGAATGATAAGGAAATTATGCTTAGTCTGAATTAAATAAATGTGGTGGCAAGACCAGTGGAGAAAGATAGGTCTAACATTAAGTGAGGTCAATTAGTACATTATGGTAAAATTACCAGAATTAATCCTATGATGGTTTCTAGGGAGGAGAGCATAAATATTGATCTGACATAGTACATTGTTAATGATAAATCACAGTACTAGTGGGGGGCTTTTAATAACAAAAACATAGTGATATGTTTGTGCATTATTTATTTAACTAATATTTGTAAAATATAGTAATAATAATGAATTATATCACCAATTAGTCCTTATATGTAAATGATGATAATTATTGAATTATTTTTATTTATGTTTTTTTAAATAAGTTAATATTTTGTGGACAATGTATATAGTATAATAACTAAAAAATAATAAATGTATGTTGTGGTTGTTTAGGATGATAATACATAATTATATTATATATTTAATGTTTTATAATCTCTCATTGTAACAATAAATATAAAATACCAAAATATACTCACACAAAACAATTGGTATGCCAGAGTTCTCCATTAGAATTGACAATCTTCTCATTGGTTTCAAATCCATCCCCACAACGGGTACAAAACATATTATCAAGTGACATTGTGGCTATTCTGAAAATAAAAGATAATAAGTATACTGGGTACTGTAACAGTACATTTGCACATCACAAGGTGGAAAGCCAGACTTCAGTTGCTTCAGACATTGGTAAGTCTGCAAAATTAATACTAGTGGTCAATTTTCAATGGTCCTTATACTGTTTAACTATTGTGGTCATTCAACTTTAGAGAATAAACAAAATCATCTTTTACAGTGAAACCAAACAACTTTTGATCTAAATTCAGGAAAAGAAAAACAAGCCATTGTAACCTTATATTGGGTATGATTATTCATTTAATTTGTTGATATTTCATTGAGTGACATTTAACAGTTTGAATGATTTAAAACTTAACTCAATAAATATTATATTTTCACAATATAATGAATAAAATTAAAACAATTTTATGTATTTATTTGGATCATAGATATAGTTAATGTCACCTAAAAAGTTTATATTGTTATAAATTGTGTGCATTTGTTAAACATTATATTAAGCAATTAAATGGGACTGTTAATATATTAGAAAATGTTGAATTAGAGGCATTCATTTTTAAATTAAATATTAGACAATGATAAGGGAGCATTATGAATATGCCATATATTATCCCTACTATGAGGATAATGTTAATATAATGTTTCGTTGTTACAGTTTTCATACAACAACAAGGAAAATAATTTGTTCACAAGTGACTAATTCAGCTATGCTGGTTTAAATTAATAATCAAGGATGATTTTATATGACATATAACTTTTAAAGTATTAACTGTATTATGTATTTAATTATAATAATATACTATTATGACTTATCCCAGATGAGATAGTCAGAAGCAATCGAAAAGTAGATTTGGTATATCCAACTTAATATTTCACTAGATTTATATGTATATGGCCCCTGCCATATACATATAAATGTAGTAAATATTGAGATTAGAGAAGTAACTAAGTTAGCTAGAGAATATATGAGATTACTACCACAATATCTTGTGTTGGTTTGTTTATTATTGGCATTATTATTATTGACAAGTCAGCCAAAAATATATTCTATGCCTAATATGAAATTTTGAGATATGTGTAAATGCTATCTATTTTATATATATATATATAGGCTAGGACACAGACAAAAAAATCTCAGTTGTGAAACCACATGAATGTACTTTATCAATGAATTCTACAAATAACTTAATAGTTCTATTTATTTACCTAATTACCATATGACTATAAATATTCAGTTACAATAATGTTTTAATTGTATACAGAACATATTATATTTATAACATTTTATCAGCATGTTTCATAAAATTACTTTTACTTATTTAGTTTACTTTGATGAGTTAGTAGCAATGAGTTAAAATATATGCTAAACATATAAAATGGTTTTAAAATTCAGACAGATTAAAATGAGAATGAGCATTTTTGATGTTATAATTTTGTAAAGACAATATTTAAACTTTGGTAAGCATATTTAACATGATACAATATTGTATATGAATAGTTAAAAAATAGTAGGTGGTACTCTGAGTAGGTGTACATGAGCAAAGTAGGTTAGCCACTCCCTTAAAAGCAGGTGTTGCTTACCCTGGCATTTTTCTCTCTAATTTTTAATAGGTACTACTTGAAGAGGAAATTACTTCTCTGTTGAAAAAAAATACATATATCCATTAACTGGATTCAGGAAACTAAAATAGAAATATTATTCCGTGAAGGATATATTTTGGGATGATGTAATGCAACCAAAATAGACTAGTATTCTGAACAGAAATTATTTAGGATACTCACATTATTGTATGATTAAGTATATGCAATAATAACCTTCTATATTTAAGTGTAACATAGAAGACAAGTAATAAATACAAATAAAAATAGAATTCAAAAATATAATGTATTAGACAGAGATTCACAATAATTCACAGATACACAGAACTTACAGAGACTGAAAGTACGTAAATTTTTTTTAATTAATCATATAGTGTTGCCAGATAATTATCACGGTTCTACCCTCCCTAACGCTGTTCAAAATCCCCAAAAATCATGGATTTATGTATTAAAACACGGATTTATAGTTCAATAACTCAAGAAATGATCTATACTGAGGATTAAATGTGAAGGCGACATTTTCAAAATAGCTACTAATTCTTATTTTGTCGGAAGTATTTTTCTTTGTACAAGGGAAGACAAGGTATTCTTTGAAAAAAAATTTTTTTTCAAATTTCTTTTAAATTAAATTTCTTTTATATTGGAAGTACCATTTATGTGTTGCAATGGTATTGTGGAATACAGGCCACTTATTTGTTTATAACTATTTTATATGCTTTATATTTCGAATACCAAAATTCAATTCTAAATTGTCACTACTATCTATTGTTCCTTTTCGGTTTCCCTTCCTGGCCCTAGTTAGTAGTGTTTCTTTATAATATTAATATATACAATATATATATATATCCTCCAACTCCCTAGTTTCCTTTATCGCCCACATATTATTTTCTAAATTTTAATTATCTAAATTACAACATGATCACAAGATCGAAGGCGGCGATGAGGGAATGCCAGGCTGAGGGCCTGGGAGGGTTTCGTAGAAGCATTGTGGAACCTAGTGCTATGAGTTGTGAAAGTGTTGTGCCAAGACATTCAGCGGATCGGTGCGGGAAGCGCTCTCAGTGCCATTACCGCCCGATCAAGAATTTAACCCGCCTGAATCGTTTGCTCATCGCGAAGAGTTTGGGATTCTGAATGATGCAGAACTTGTATCGTCGTCGAGTGGTAGGCTAGCAGGAAGACCTCCAGCGTCCAAGCTGCGGCAGTTACCTGGCTCGGAATACGGTCAAGGATGCTATTCAGGGATTCCGGTGAGTGGGTGTCGCGATGGCAATGTCCATCGCAACTTACAACAGGTCCAAACAGTACAGGTGAGTGAACTGTCCCGCTTGGCAGATGCCATTTTTACTCTGGCTAATAAAAATAGTAGTCCTTCACCCGTAGACCTTACCACATTCAGTGGTAACGTGAATGAGTGGCTACTATACAAAAAAATATATGACGATACGAAATCGTCCTATACGCCTGCCGAAAATATGGCCAGGCTGCGTAACTCATTACGCGGTGTAGCTCGAGAAGCAGTGTTAGTACTTTTACTTACCTCTTCATGTCCTAAGGATGTACTACAAGTCCTCGAGCTTCGTTTTGCTCGACCTGAGCAGATTGTTCTATCAGAGATAGCAGCAATTAAAGCTATCCCTAAACTTGGTAGAAACCCTAGTGACATTTTTATTCTATCTACAAAAGTAAAAAGCTGTGTAGAAGTAATGAATTTATTATGTCAACGAGAATACATTTATTCACCGGAATTATTACATAATGTCATTTCGAAATTAACGCCTTTAATATATAGCAAGTGGTGTGATTTTGCCACAATACACTACACACCCGGTCAACCACAACTAGAGTTGCTTGCTGAATTTTTATTGCAGGAGGCTAATAAACAAGCACGCTTTGGACTGCCGTGTGAGGCAGTTAGCATCATGTCTCATGCGGAGAGAACGAGGGGGACATCCATGTCAGCGGCCCCGCGCACGGATTGTGTGCAGGCTGCGTACCGGAATGCACCCTCAAGGCAAACAAGGCGAACACAACCACAGCGTCTGTGCCCCTTCAAATAAATAATAATTTGTCCAAACTCATTTCTTGTGCATTTTGTTCTGGCCCACATAGCCCTAAAACTTGTTTTAAATTCATAGCACTCTCAGTTGATGACCGTCTCAGTTGTGTAAAGAAGGAAAAACTCTGTCCGAGATGTCTGAAAAAAGATAAGCACAGCTGGAAATTTTATAGACCTAAACAGTGCGATATTTGTAATCAAAATCATCATAAATTTTTACATGTTGAAAATAAATCGGAAAATTCGTTTTCACATCATACAAATATTGATGCTGTCATATGTCAGAATGATAATTTGAATTTTTCTTCTGATAAAATTGTTCCGAGTACTAGTAGCAATAATATAATTTCTTTTTCAAATAAACAAATGCAAAGAGATCGGATACTTTTGAAAATTTTACCTGTTATTTTGTATGGTCCGATTGCCAATATTGAAACTTTTGCACTTTTAGATGATGGGTCTTCGGTCTCAATGATCGATGCTGACTTAGGGAAGCAGTTGGGTCTCAGTGGTACGGAAGAGAGTATGAACATTACGACGGTACCTACGGTGACATTACGTGTACCAACACACGTAATGTCACCACCAGCTTAGTAGATTTTAATATTAAGGGTAAACGCTCGGAGATTCATATCATTAAGAAAGCCCGTACTGTACCTAATTTAAAGTTAGCATTACAATCGGTTGACACTAGTGAATTAGTTTTAGAACATTTGCATGATCTTGTCGACGTTCTCTCGTATTCTAATGCTAAGCCAAAAGTTCTCATAGGATTGAGCGACTGGCATTTACTGATTGCTAGAGAGAATCGTATAGGTACTCGTTCCCAGCCGGTAGCCACTCACACGCCTCTGGGGTGGGTACTATACGGATTATCGTCCAAGATTACTACGCCTGTTCAATTCATTAATCATTGTGTATTTTCTGAGGTAGACAACGACCTTGATATTTTAATTAGGGATTACTATAAGTTAGATTCTATCGGTTTAAATTCACGCGAGCCTTATACCACTTCTGAGTCGAGAGCCATTCGTATTTTGGAAAATACAATAACACGTCTTCCAAATGGTCGATTTGCGGTTGGTTTATCTTGGCGTGAGGATTCAGTAGTTATGCCCAATACTTACCATCACGCCCTGTGTAGGTTGAATGGTGTAAACAAAGGATTCAAACGGGATCCTAATTATCAATTATTGTACAAACAAACTATTGAGGCTTACGTTAAAAAAGGATATGCTGAGGAATGTGTGGTTGATGACGGTATTCTCTCAAATTCTAGCCTTTGGTATTTGCCATATTTCGGTGTGACAAATCCCAATAAACCGGGCAAGTTGAGAATTGTTCCGACGCATCTGCTAAGAGCAGCGGTGTTAGTTTAAACTCGTTACTATTGCCAGGTCCAGACTTATTTCAGTCATTGGTAGGTATCCTCATAAGATTTAGAGAGGGACAAGTAGCTTTGACAGGATACATTAGAGAAGTGTTTCCTAAAATTAAAATTCGTGAAGCCGATCGCGACTGTCAACGTTACTTGTGGGGACCAGATGGGCCAGACGGGCAAGTTCGTCAGTTTAGGATGTCGTCTCTTATTTTTGGTGCAGCTTCGTCTCCTTTCACCGCCATTTATGTTAAAAATAAAAACGCTAGAGATTACGAGAAGCTGTTTCCTGAAGCAGCGAGAGCTATCATTGAAGATCATTACATGGACGATTTTCTGGGTAGTGTAGACGATGTTGACGCTGCCGCTTGACTTGCCAGGGATATTGTAGATGTTCACAGTAAGTGTGATTTTGAGATGCGTGAGTGGACGTCGAATAAACCAGAGGCTTTACGTTTTGTTCCTAGTAAGTTACGTAAAGATAATGAGTCTCATGTAAATCTTGATATAAATAAAGCTACTATAAGAGTTTTAGGTTTATTTTGGAATCCGATAAGTGATTATTTAAGTTTTAATGTAAATATTCAACAGCCTCATGATCTTCACTTAACTAAACGTCAGGTCTTGAAAGATTTAATGAGAATTATCCTTCCTTTAGGTTTTTTATGTCCCTTTATTATGCAGGGAAATATTTTATTTCAACGAACATGGAAACTAGTTACTGGTTGGGATGACTCACTACCTCCGAGTGAATGTGTCAAATGGCAGGATTGGTATCGTGGTTTTGAAACAATAAAAACGTTGACGATCCCGCGATGCTATTCCAACCATATTAACCCATCCTGTCTTGAGCTACATATTTTTTCTGATGCTAGCGATCAAGCTTACGCATGTGTTGCGTACTGGCGGCTTAAGTATCGCGATGGTTCAATCAAAATAGCTTTTATTATGAGTAAGTCACAAGTTAGCTCTCTTGAACCAACGCCTATAGCTAGGTTAGAGCTTCAGGCGGCTCTATCAGGTGTACGTTTAGCAGACACAATCACTCGGGATTGTAAACAAAAGATCAACGCACGTTATTTCTGGTGTGATTCGCGAGTAGCTTTATCGTGGATTAGAAGCGATGCACGCAACTTTAAAGCGTTTGTTGCGAATCGGGTCGGAGAAATTTCTGAGTCGACACTACCACGCGAATGGCGCTGGGTACCGTCAGAGCTTAATGTAGCAGACGATGGCACTCGCGTAAGTGCCAAAAGCTCAATCGAGCTTAATAGATGGTTAAACGGACCGTCCTTCTTGATGGCAACTGAAGAGCAATGGCCAGTAGAGCCCGCTGCTGACCCCGTCGCTGGCCAGGATCTGAAGTGTCATCAGACAGTTTTGGCAGACTCTCGGCCCTATTTTAATATTATTCCAAATTCTAAAAACTTTAGCAACTGGCTGCGACTCTTACGAGCCACAGCCAGAGCTCACCAATTTTTACGCCTACTTATAGAAAGTAAGTCAAATAATGTATTTTCTAATAATATGTCGTTTTACTAATAGGGGTGCACTACGTCCGCTTCTTTTTAAAGACATGGAAGCCTGACCAAGCAAGCAACATTGTTGATTCGAAATGGTTATTCCGAATCAAAAAGGAGGCGGGAAATAAAACTCGATACAAAGCTCGCTTAGTTGCCCGAGGCTTCAGTCAGAGGAAAAGCATCGATTATGATGAGACATTCTCCCATGTAGTGCGACATAACTCACTGAGAGTGTTGATAGCTTTGGCTGCGCAAAATGGTCTACAGATAGACCACATGAATGTCAAAACAGCTTTGTTAAACGGTAATCTCAATGAAGTTGTTTATATGAGCCAACCAGGCTTTGAAGAAAAAGGTAAAGAGGATTATGTATGTCTATT